GTATTAATGCTAATAACTATTTGACCCGTCTGAGATTGGGACGATACCTCGCTAACAGGGACAAAATCATTGGCTCCATAGTGTCCCTGTTACAACATATTTCTGTTATGAAGGCGTAGCCATTTACTTTCTTCCCTGCCCACCACACATTTTAACGACATAACATGTTGCCAGCATTATTCTGTTTACAGTGGCAGCCTGGATGACCAAGAGATGAAAGAAATAGTGGAAACAGAGAAGGCATATTGGACATTCTCAAGCGTGGACCATCCTCCACTACACAGTGCCACCACCTAGTGACTCGAAGAGGCTATGCAAACTAGCCAGGTGTGTCGTGTTGTGTGCGTGTGTGTGCGTGTGTGTGTTGTGTTGTAAATTGCAAGAGTTTCCTTCCACTGCTTTGTTAAATCCTCTCATTCCTGTGACTTCCTTTGTCGACAAGAAGTCTAGTGTGCATTTCCTGTATGCAGTTCCTGTATGAGTTCCTGTATGCAGTTCCTGTATTGCAGTTCCTGTCTGCAGTGTAGGGGACTGCCTCATCCTTAGGTGTGTTATGTAGAGTACAGCGCCCTATTATGGCTGAGCTCTTGCCAGTCAATGCAGTCTAACACTGTAGCCTTGCAGATGGTTCAGTTAGGTTGTGCACACTGCATCTCCATGGGTGCCGTTGATAGGGAACTCCCTGTACATCTTGAACAGCATGCGTGTACAGCAACTGTTACTAAAAGTCCTTGCCTACGTCAGGCAGATGCTGTTAGCCCTAGAGACAGTGCATGTTGGGTAGTTGTTAATGGCAACACATTATAAACCAACCATGCTGCCATTATAGCGTTCTGCTACAAGGGATGCATAGGAGATTGTGCAAATATGCGAGAGACCGCATTTACCATTTGCGCACATTGTATAGCTTGCTGCGCTCACTTGCCACTCGTCATGAAGGGTACATGTGCATTAGAGGGCTATCATTCACAGTGAGTGCCTATGCATTCACAGAATGTGTACAAACCATGGTGTAATCCATCCTGCCCACACCAACACGCTATTTTCTATCCCACTTGTTCATTGTGATACCGTGTAGTGGGGTGTCCATTGACATATATACGACCATTTAATCTGTACAGCTGCTAGGAAATACAGTCACAGCATGTGTATATACAGACCCATTAGGAAGCATGTAGTTTCATAAATGTGGCAACATCATGTACAGCGTTCTCCATGTAGTATGTGAATGTTCTCCATGCTCATACCCACACCTTCGCTATAAATAGATGCATGTGTCGATCTGTACAAACTGTATACTGTTCATGCATGCGTGCTCTTATGGTGGTATCATACGTGTGTAAGTGCAGAGTACACTGTGTATTGCAGTGGTGAATTTGGCTGGCGATCAGGCAGTTCCCCATATGCTTGTCTTTTGGACACTGAATACTATATCAGTACCCACCCTTTGTGAAGTCATCCCTGGATCTATACTAATAATAGTGTTATTGTACTCCACACAGCGTGGTGGTGCTGAGGAGCCAGCTCACTAGGCAAACTGGGACCACAGTGGCAAGAAGACTGTACAGTTCTCCAGCAGTTGGTGATGCTGAGTATGGGAAAACTGACGGGTCAGTCACAACTTCCTCACTGTACTAGATGTGATCACTCCACCACTGACCCACACCTGTGGCTAGTGTTATCGATTTACCCCTCTTCACCTCACAGACCCAGATGCAGCCAGATGAACCAGGTCACTACGGTAAACTGGACCACAGCGGCAAGAAGACGCCTGTGGCATATCCTGGCTCCTCTGAATATGGGAAACTAGACCGGGTGAGTACAGTTACTCTTCAACACACGTAACGTGCCACCTGACCCACACCTGTATAGAGTGAAAACCTTGCATCCCTCTTCACCTCACAGACCCAGATGCAGCCAGATGAACCAGGTCACTACGGTAAACTGGACCACAGCGGCAAGAAGACGCCTGTGGCATATCCTGGCTCCTCTGATATGGGAAGCTAGACCGGGTATGTGTGGCATGGTGTATGGGCATGCATACTGTACCTACATAAGTATATATGGTGATGTCTCCCTGACCAATGTCACATACTGAGTTGTACATGTGTGATACTTGGTTGTCACAGTCCAGATGGAAGATCCTCTCCACTATGGCAAACTGGGACCATCCGGGAAGAGAGGAGCCACTCTACCTGGTGGGGTAGTATCCCACTGACCCTGCCAGCTATGGGAAACTGGACAATGTGAGAAACATGTGGTGTATAGATAGTTCTCTTGTCTAAAATGTATCATGAGACAAGGAAACACTGTAAGTGGCTAGTTTCACTATGCAATCTGTGCACAGCCAAGCTGCTCATATCCATGAGCACATGAGTAAACACATCAGGCCAACCTGCAAAGCCATGCACTTATCCTTAGAGTACATGACTACGTGTGCCTTATATGGTGGCTTGCATGTGAAGTGGTTCGGTATTATCATGTCAGCACTGGAGTGTGTATAGTAAACCGCTTTGGTGGCAGTGAAGCATGAAAAGTGTGCCTTGTATTGTATACACAGCCACTGAGTGCATAGAGACTTGTAGGCTTGCTAATGCTGACTGCTATGCCAGCTATGTAATCTTACATTGTACCATCCCAATATACATCATTACTGTGTACTCTCTCTCTCCCCTCCACCCAGACCCAGATGCAGGCTAGTGGCAGCTCTGCTAGAGGTGGTGACATGTACGACACAGTGTCCCATGAACCTCGTCACAAAGTCCCTTCCTCAAAGTCGAAGAGACAGCACTCTAGCAGTGGTGAGGAGGCCTCTCTACCGTAGTCACATGTGCGTTCATCAACAGCACACCACACCACTCTAAACACTCCAAACACTCTTCTATATCCCACTTGCTAGACAAAACTCCTTCAGAAACTCTTAGATGTGCCCCACTTTACACCTCTGTTCCCACAGTGGCACTAGCTCAGCTGTTAACTATATATAAGTGGTAAAGAGATGACAATTGTTACTGTCTTACTGTTTTGCAGCAAATTTATATACCACAGTATCTAGTGAGTTTTTGGAGACGATATCCATCGTCCCACTATTTTAGTTCTCTGGGAGAGTAGTATTACCACTACAACAGAAATTCCAGCAATTAAAGTGCAAACCCTCCGCGAACTGCGCATGCGCAGTAAGCTTACCACTATTGATAGGCTGGGCTTTAGTATGCGTTTACCCGTGGTCTCCCGCTATAGCTTGCTGAGAGTCTGACACGGACTGGCTACAGTAGTAGATAGCATGCGGGAGCCGATACACACCCTTTTTTGAAGGAAGGTGTAAATGCAGGTTTTAGATTACCTTTCGGCAACACATAAGTCGCCTTCTTTGCTTCCGTGATTTTCTGAAAAATATATTCAATAAGAGTAGTCATGCCCAGCTACCAGGGCAGCTTAGGTGGTTTTCATTTACTCTACCTATACCACCCACTCATTTTGGTTGGTTGAATCCCCACATTCATACCCCTGAGATGAGGAGGGTTAGCACACTTGACAGTATAGTGAGACAGACGAGCCACCCACTCAGGACCAGAAGTGAGAGGACAAAGGAAGCTATCAGTAGACCATCTCTAACAGCCACTGTTCCACTGGGAGACTGACACAAGGAGTCATCACCTCTCACATATCCATCATCCTCTGAGAAATCTGATGACAAGTGAAATGTACACTAATACACTTAATTAGGTAGCCAACCAACCTTACCATTTGCAATCAGGTATCCAAGGAATGCAAGCCATAGATCAGTCTCTAGAACAGGAATAACTATCACAAGGAACAATGTTGGAAAACACCAGGCAGTCCCTGCAGGGATTGAAACTCACTATCTATACAGACACAGACTACTACCACTACCTTTTGTAGTTCTCTGGGAGAGTAGTATTACCACTACAACATAAATTCCCACTCCAGCAAATGAAGGACAAGAGTCCTATCACTATCATTGCAACGTTTGAAGTACTCAACTTTCCTGGCAGAGAGGCTGCATGAAAATGGAGAAAGATTAACTGCACTTTTAGTCACAGGACTCAACGAGATCTCTTTATACACCTTTTGCTACATTAGGTGTCTCTCCATTCCATTGCACGTTAGCACACATGTTCTCTCCTCTGGAGAATGACTCAAGATGCAGTAATCTTGAGAAGTAGTGTAGGTAGCAGTACTGCCATGGCAATTCCAGTGTATGAAGCACATAAGCTTGTCTCAGAATCACGGCTACAACACAGAACATCGTCTGTGACTTTTGTTTCATCACATCTCATCAGTAGATCATCCAACAAGCATACTGAATCAATAGCAGACAAATATCAGCGTCATACAAAACCCTTCCCATGCAAAGGCAGAGCAATGTAGCTATTATCTAACAGCTTCATAAAGTGACATTATACTAATTTACCCTTAACAATCCCTTGAGATGGAAGAACCCAGTTATCATTTCCACATCTGCTCGTGAACATCTGTCTTCCATTAACAAGGAAACGTTCATTGGTGGTGTAGGTAGCAGTAGATCCCAGAGATACTCCATCAAATGTCACATTCCTCCAGAAAATGAGTAGATGCCCAGACCCCCTTGAAACATATGAGTTTCACTCCAACCAACGTTAGATATCCGCAAATCATTTGGATCACAAACTGTCAGAAGGAACAAGAATTAGATAATGTACAAAATAACACCTTCCCTCACTCACAAATGGATATGTCAGAGGCATCGGTCCTCTGGGTGACACAACCCAGGACCTCCACAGCCACTGAATATGAGGTAGTGATGCTCTCAGAGGAAAAAGTGTATCTGCAGTTGTCTCTAGTGCAGTTGTCTGCAGTGACAATATCAACTGTTCTCTCAACTCCAGATCCATTAATGATGATAACTCTGTAGTCAGCCTCTCTCCCTAGAACCTGACATAAATTAAACCAGAGTTAATTACTACCATTTGTATGAGAATGTCTTACATAAGTTCTTGGCCAGTTGACAATGATGGAGTCTACATCCAGTGATGTCACGGTGGACATTATATTGTACACATATTGATAGGTGAAAGGTTGAGTTGTTCTCTCCATACCTAGCAAGGCAAGCATAATTATTACAAGACATGATTGTTAAAAGTTATACATGAGCTAGTGCAATGAAACACGCCTCACATTGAAGTAACAGTATTCGAACCTCTTAAATTTGCTGTGTTCGTTTGCAATCTCTCCAGTCAGTGTGTTATTACAGGTGTCAGCTCTGACAGTAATGTCACTCTGATTCACGTTGACAGTGAGGACTGTACTGGGTCTGAGTATCAGGTGTGGTGATGACTGAACTACCATTCATGACCATACAGTCTCCAGATGACTGGCAATCAGAAGGTGGCGAGTCACAGTCAACACATACTGAGACACAGTTCCAGCACAACTGACGATGGCCTCACTCCACTCCACACTCACCACACACTCTCCCCCTCTTCCCACATCTCTCTCTGAGATGGTGGCTGAGTTGATTTGAGAGTGTGATAGAAGATCTGTAGAATGATTGTTTTAGCATATAGCATGACTCCTCACAAACCAAGCCACCTACGATACCAGATCTCCTGGTCAACATCATCCATCAAGACATTGTATTCTGGTCATATTGAGACTTTCATCCACTTGACTGTGTAGTCAGAGTAGAGGAGCCATCTTCAGTGATTTTCACAAGAATTCTCATTTGGTCCACATGTTTGGGTCTGTGACTAAAGGCATTGGTAATCTTAGTGCAGTACATGTCGTAACTGTTCCTCCATCAGTGTAACTCCCCAGGTGTACAAACTTGTACTTGTTTGACATGTGAATGTCATATTGCCTCCAGGACACGTGTTTGACACTTGAATACCTTATGAAGAAAGAGTAATGATCTTTTACACATCGAAACCACTATTATCATTCAAGAAGCTCCATGCCTTGCCTGAAAGTGAAGCAAAGATGCCGCAGATGAGCAACCAAATGCCATTCTAAAGTAGCTTAACTCTTTGCATTGGGGTTAAAATTCCAAAGTTTCCTGATGGTGGCTGGAAAGCTGCTGGTTAGCAAAAAATGCTCCTAATATGTCCTTTTATGTTTCCGTGTAGACAGCTAGCATCCTCACACAGTTTGCCAGAGCAAGTGATTCACTGCAGGTGCAATTCCCTTTCTTTGGAGTTACTGCAAATGTGTGGAATGTATATAACCGCCCCCGTTATGCTATTTCAACAATGCATAGCTATAGTGGCTGTGTGTGTATCAGAATTTACCTAGATCTAATGTAACTAGTATATATAGAGAGACAGGGTAATTACATATGTACACGTACATACCTTTATGGTTACCGCTTGGTACCAGCACGCATGCCCACACAGGGGATCCTCTTCGGTTTTGTACTCGTGTGACTCAGTATGGGGGAGCAAGCTTGACTAAACCTCACTGAAAGAGTGCCCAGCCCAAGCCCAAGTGAGCCCTTTGTCCCAAAAGACAACCCTCTTATTAATTTTAGGCTGAAACGTGGTTCGATCTCCTGCCATACACCTTGAGTTTACAAAAATCATTTATTTTCAACTTGACTAAGAAGCAATTAAGGGATAACTACAATCGTACTGAATGTTCACATGGTAGTATTATAGCTACATCACAGCTGCACTTGTCCATAAGCAGTGTTGCGAGAGGTGGGAATGTTGTCCTTGAGTACTGGACCATATGCCTCATTGGAGGTCAGCTGAATGTCTTGTGAACTCTTGACCTCTCTTGCCACATCCACCTCCTCATAGGTGACTGGTGGGGGGAGGGAGGGGAGAGGAGGAGGTGGGGCCAGACATCCTGCCCCTCACTCTCTGTATGAGGTACAGTCCCACCACTCACAGTAGAACTCCAATAGTTAGAAACACAAAACTGCACACAACACCAACAATTACTACTGCAGCTGCATTTCCTCTTTATTTCAGATCCAGTCTCATGCTCTAATGAAAGAAGGTTGGACATACTTTATAATCGTAGCATTTTCCCCACACATTAAGGTTTGGTGCATTCAACTCACTTGCATTGCTGATTATCAGCTCAGGAGCTGTCCACATGTTATTAATTGTGCATCTTCTCTCCAGGATTCTAACTCCATTAACTAGATAGCCTTCTGAAGTTCTGTATGTGGCAGTAGATCCCAGGGACACTCCATTGTAGGTCACATTTCCACCAGGAAATGAATAGACACCCATTCCATCAGCTGTGAACTCTGGTATTGCTGTCCAATCAACACCAGGGAAGAGCAGGTCTTCTGGAGAACAAACTGAGGAAAAAAGGTAGTTAAAATTAGGGCGTTTACTTTTCTCTTAGGGGTTAATTATGAGGAATGTTGCATACAGCTGCAGATTGATAGTGTGGACAAAGAGTTGCCAGAGTAGGTTCTTCTCATTTTTTATGGAAGATGGCTAAAATATATATATTTCCCACTTCGAGTTAACACATTTTCAGAATGTTTTTGTCTGTGTGCGTGTGTGTGCATGTGCCATGTGTACATGTGTGTGTTGTTGTGGGTAGAGAAGAGGGAAAATGTGATGGTACACCCAGCATCTTGCATTAACACCATCCTCACCATGACTGGTGGCGTCAGTCTCATCAGTGGTGGCGGTTGGATCATCAGAAACCTCACCACGAACCTCTAGTGGATTGTCAACTCCCAGATCCCTGCCTGTCACTGACTGGGGAACTCCTCCAATTAAGGAATAATGAATCACTTCGACCGCTCCCTCTTCCCTGAGACACACAGACATGCGCATTACACCACCGAGAGGTGAGAGGATAGAAACCCTGTCGATATTGATGGTAGTGGTAGTTGAGCTGTTTAGAACCAGAGACACCAGACAGCCAGAGGAGAGAGAGCCGGTGGCAAAGACACATGTGATCCTGGCTGTCCCATTCTCATAGTGGAACACTGCCACACTCTGGAGACCTGAGGTGACTGTAGAGAGAAGCAGATAACCCAGATCACACTCACCAGTGACTCCACCCACCAAATGAGACCTCTGTTGTCATGGGATCATCAATGGAGAAATGGAAATGGTTGCTGGCAGACAGCGTGGCTGAGTAGCGAGAGTTCTCCTTCAGACCAGTCGCCTCAGCCACCATCTCTGACTCTGACCCGGTCACCTGGACTGCTATCACCTCCTCTGGTCCTCCTTCCTCAGAGAGGGTTAGGGTGTAGTTTAGAGGGAAACAGGACTCGGGCCTCTGCACAAGAGAAGGGGACGAATTGTTCAAGACTTTCGAAAGTAGCATTTGCAGGCATACATTTCTAGCCACTCCTGTACATTTCACAAATGGTTCCACAACAACAGAGGCAATGCACATGAGGAACGAACCTGGAAGAAAAGTCTGAGAACAGCTCTGGAGTCAGAAAGCTGTTGGCTGTCGTGAGAGACTTCAGTTGTTACCGCCCCTAGAGGACCTGGAGCTGTCAGAGAGAGAGAGAGAAGAAAAGCGAAAGTGCTACTGAAGGGGTAGCTACATAAGAGCTTTGTATATAAGCAGTTCTGTCCACCCAAGTATCGCTGTCAAAGATCTTCTAAACCTGTTCTCCCTAAAAAGTTCCCAGCTACAGCATGGTGTATGAGGCATAGCTCACCAGAGGGATGTAAGGCAGGAGTAGAGGAGGACGAGCTGAGAGAGAGACCGACATCATTGAGAGAGAAGACAGAGAAGGAGTAGAGGTGGCAGTCTAGTGCCTGTCTCTCTGAGATCTGGTGGGTGAAGCTGGTGTCATTCAGAGGTCCCAGTGAAGAGGTGAATCCCGTGGCCTCGTCAGTGACCAGAAGAGAGTAGGAGAAAAGTTCTCCTGGTAGAGAGAAGGGAGGAGTCCAGGTCACTCTCAGCTGGTGGACCCTCTCTCCCACCACCTCTACTTCTCCTGGTGCCAGAGGGAGACCTGAAGGAGGGTGGACACCAGTGAACACTGTTGGGACAAGCCTTGTCCCTTAGTTCCATGTGTTCTTCATTTTAGTTAATAACATGTATAGTCTTGTGCCGACACGTGCTCCTGGGCGAAAGAGGGTCTGGTAAGTAAAGTCCGATTTCTTGGTTGTGCTGAATCAGCATGTGTACGTGAATTGCGTAATTCAACCTGTAAGTTATGTGATTACCTGGTCAAGCACTCCAATTCTGTTGCGCTGCACATGCGCAGAACCGGTTGGCATTGCAGAGCGCCTTCATGTCACATGATAGTTTTAAATCCGGCAATCTGATTGGGTTTCCCGTTTTCCATACATGCTGACTCGGCACAACCAAGAAATAAGACCTTATATACCAGACCCTCTTTCGTGCGGGAGCACAAGACTATAACATGTACTACATGAACGTGACAGGAGGTGCTCGTTATTTGGAAATGTCCATTACACTGTAATGCTCTCGGGTATAGGCAAATGTATGAACTGAGCTTCATTTGCAGCTTGTTTTCCTCAGTGTCATTATCGCGGTTGTCAGATCTGCATTAGTTATAACATGCTATGCATCTTCCGCTGGTTTTCTGCTGAAATTTACAAAATAGACATTGAATAGGCACATTGAAAGACACGTGTGTAACAAGAAACAACATTTAGCAGCAGCAACTTCAGGGCAACAAACTCGTAATTTAAAATTAATGACTTGGTAAAAATGTACAAAAGTTTTGAAACAACAAATCACAAATCAATGCATAACATACACCCATGAAAAATGAAGGCTCCACCATTATCAGGTGAGGTGGTAGAAAGGGGGAGGAAGCCTCCCTACATATTTTATCAGGAGACCAACAAAATGTACAGTCCACTATCTGATGTGTACTATGTAGGACAGTGGGTGGAGGAGAACAATAGTTGTAATAGTTGTTTGAAGGGGAAAACTGACACTCCACTGGGGTTTGTAGTGTTGTTCCATCAGAGTATATACACAATGCATGATAACCCAGTGTGGCGGATAAGAACTACTGAAAGTGGTTGATAAGCTAGCCTCGTACCCTCAGAAGAGAAATTGTGTTCAGTCAACTTACTGTCACGTAAGCACATGACCACTGAGTATGCAGCTCTGTGCTACACAGGCAGATCCAATTGGAAATGGACCATCACCGCAAAAAATGATGATTATGACAAACACTGCATTGTAGCTCCCTTTTGTTTTGAGTTTGATAAAATTCCCTCCTACAGAACTATAGTGTGTGTGCAATGTTGGTGGAAAGAGCTGGCAGGGTGGAGAGTTGCCTGGAAACCACAGCGGATGTGTCCCTCCTACAGAGGAACTGGTGACACAGCCCACGGTAGTTACATATACCCATCATGGTAGCCATGTATATACTATCTTAATATGGAGCCCTAGGGTTAGCAGGTGGAGGGGGTGAGTAGGCACATTTGGTAGTCATGTACTGTCTTAATATGGAGCCCTAGGGTTAGCAGGTGGAGAGGGTGAGTAGGCACATTTGGTAGTCATGTACTGTCTTGATATGGAGCCCTAGGGTTAGCAGGTGGAGGGGGTGAGTAGGCACATTTGGTAGTCATGTACTGTCTTGATATGGAGCCCTAGGGTTAGCAGGTGGAGGGGGTGAGTAGGCACATTTGGTAGTCATGTACTGTCTTGATATGGAGCCCTAGGGTTAGCAGGTGGATGGGGTGAGTAGGCACATGGTGTACATACTGTAGTCTAGAGACTCTTTTGTACATGTACTACAGTGCTGTCACCACTAATGTATGATCTTCCACAATGTCATCATTACCAAAGCATCAGTATATATCCTGATGGGAAGGTCCGTCGTGGTTTTAAAATTCTGAAATCCAACCCCTTTAACATCCCACCACCATCTTCAGAAAGGAGTTATAATGTACCCTCAACTGTAAGAACTACTTGGCAAGAAAGGTTTTACGCTACTAACCTGGAAACAAATGGAAATCAACTCATTGCTAATTAATAAGGCAGAAAAGCCAGGCAATGGACCAGCAAAGCACCCGGCACTAAAGAAGATCAACCTTGAAGTGGAGTAAGATGAAACACTAGAGGCCACGATGAGAGGTTCAACTATATGTATGTACCAATACACCACAACTGTAGAGTGCTGAGTTAGCCCCCCTTCCCTGATGTCGTCATTGCAACCCTGTGTGGGAAGCCTTTGGAGCTACCACAAATCACCACATCACTATTTCTTCGCCCCAGCTCTGCCCCCATACAGTACAATACATCAGTCGCTGCAAACTCAGACACCACAGTAGTAAGTAACACACAACAGTCCCAGCTACTAACCGTAGACAGTGAAGGTGATGGTCTCTCCATCCTGCAGGTCAAACTGAGTTGGTCCAGCCTGACAGCTAATGCCCTCAATTGAATCATTGACATGGAGTGTGGCAGGAATGGTGATGGTGATCCTGATTCCTCCAGGAACAGCCTCAGGCCTTCCAACCTCAAGTATTAAACCATTCTGTTGGAGGGGCTCAATGGCTGACTCGTCAAACAGTTGTCCGTCGTTAATTCTCCACACCAGCTCTGGCTGGTCAGTTACACACTCCAGAGATACATTAGACCCGAGAGGAGCTGTCACATTGTCAGGGTAGACTAGGAACACTGCACTCGGAAGTGAGAAGAGAGGGGGAGGGTGGAAAGAAAGTGTTTAGTGAACCTACTCAGTTGAAAAGAGAGGGAGGACACAGAATGAGGTGATGGGTGGTGGAGATATGTAGTACATGCAGCACAAACATACTAAATTTGATTCCAAACATGGCATATTTGGTCACCTAAAACATCACACCCTCGGAGAGGTTTGGGAAATTGGCTCAGTAAGTAGCCTCAGTAGTGTAAGGCCCTGCTGTGTTGAGCAACCAGTGAGAAAAACAAGGCATTGTTCAAAGGGGGGAGGTGCTCGTACAGCGGGCGGTGGGGACTTCGCGCGAAAAAAAAAAAAAATTTATGCTGCAGAAACGCTTGCTGCGTCAATTGCTGAGTATATTATGCGCTGACAGAGCAAACACTGCGTAGCTAGTTGAGTTATACAGAGTCCACCAAGCCTAGATCTTCAAACTAACATTGCTAGAGCTGGACTTACATTAGTCTGGTGCCCAGACCCTTCACAAAATATATTCGCACGCGTAAACGCATGCGCCAGGGAGGGAGAGAAGGGTCTGGTAAAAATAACTATGCCTCTCCAGGGCCAAGGAATTTCAGCAACCACTTATCTCGAGTGGCGCTGTAGAGGCTTGAGTTACTGCAAACCAAGTGCTTCAACAGCATTGTAGACTAGACTTACATACCAGGCATTTGTGCAGAGACGAGAAGAGGTAGAGCTAGCAGCAGTAGTGGTAGCAGAGGTGGAGTGGTAAGGGCAGGGCTGCGGAGACCAGATCCTACTACCAGCCGCATCTTCATCACCACTCTCGGAATTGAAAACCACACACGAGATCGCTTACGGGGCGCCGTTTGTTCCAAAACTCATTCTCCGAAAATGCATATAATATGTCCACTATATATAAATTTGCTGCAAAATTTAGGATATGTACGACGACATTTATAAATCGACCATGACATTTATAAATCGACCAGAGAACGATGCTGCATATCGAAGGGTGTGGCGTGCGCATGCGTCAAACTCCTGAAAACGGACTCCGGCCTACCGCTTTCTTATGCACGCACACTCAAGCGTCCTTTGCCACGCCTCCCGTGCAATTATTGGGAGCGGGAGCGAGCTAACCTACTGGTACGAACGGCGCGGATCTACGATCGTACGTCGTCCAACTGCGCATGCCCGCCAGGATTACGCGCTTCTTTTTATCCGAAAGGATTTCAAACTTTCACATGCTGCCTGCTGAGAGGGCGCTCGTCTGTACAGCGTCGCTTTGTGATGGGAAGGCGCATTTTTTACCGCTGGGACGATGCCTAGCTGTCATATCGATGCGAAATATAACCAACCAAAGAACTCTCTTCTATTTGCTGGCATTCGCTGCGCTCTTCGATACCTGACCGAGGCTGTCTATACCTCCTTCCAATCTTCCTGATTCTAAGGTTCAAGTTGTAGGATGGCTAGTGCAGATAGAGTCATTGTGTGCTCGCTCCCGCTCGCCAAAAATGCCATGCATTCGCCTACTAGTAAATGTCATGATCGATTTATTGGCGAGCGGAAGCGAGTTAACCTAGATGTCCGAACGGCGCGATTTGTCACCGTATATATATAGCTACGTCGCCGAACTGCGCATGTCACCGTACGTCGTCGGTACGTCGCCCACCCCTCAGTGGGCTCCACCCCTGATAATTTGTGAGCGTGTGAGGAAAGGGAAACTAGTTATGGACGGTGTAGAGAAGATGCTCTTCGTCGTCGACGAGAAAGGGAAAGAGGTCGTGCCAGTGAGACTCCTGAGCAGAGAGAAGCTCGGCTTTCTCAACGCCGATTGCGTGATCGGGAACGGGCAAGGCAACGCCGGGCAACAGAAACAGCGGAGGAAAGGGAAGTGCGACTAGCGTGTACGATCAAGAGCTAGACGGGGTGCAGAATCCGAGGAGGCATATCATGCCAGGCTCCAACAGCTTTCAAAGCGCCAAATTGCTGCCGAGTCCAGTGAGGAGAGGGAAGCCCGCCTACAGCTGCTACGCAATGTATCTCACTGTTTCGTGCACACACAAGAGTGACTCATGCGATTAGACCCCATTTGTAAGCTCGCTTCCGCAATGCCATGCATTCGCCTACTAGTAAATCTCATGGTCGATTTATAAATGTCGTCGTACATTTATATATAGTGGACATAAGCTTATTACCTAGCATTTTCGGAGAATGATGGTTTTTGGAACAAACGGCGCCGTAATCGCTCGGACACTTTTGGGGGTCGCAGACTGGAAATATACGGAGAAAGTTTGTACCAGCATTTTCTACGTTTCCGGAGACAGGAATTCGATCTTCAACAGACAGAGCCAGCGAAACCGTGCACAGCTAGTGGCGTAGAACCACGGTGGCTCTGGGGCGGCGCCACCCTATTATTTTCTCGGGCTGGCTCTGGGTGTGTGGCAGCGCCTGTGTTTTTACGCATGCGCGTGAGCCCCCCTTTGTACGAACATCGCTACTATACTACTGGTGTGCAGGATCAGTAGCTGTGGATAGTGAGGACTCAAAGAGGGATCAAGCTGGAGGATAGGTGTAGAAAGAAGTCTCGTCACGCTGGTCGCTTCTCTTTGCTTGCTAACCTGCACTTCAGCCCAAGATTCAACCAGTGAGTGGCGTGCTAGTTCCTAATGGGCTAGGAAGAGAGGAGTAACTCACCTCCTTGTCAGAGTGTGGTTGTGTGACTGCAGGTATCTCGAGGAGGAGGGCAAACTTGTGTGTGACAGTCATTGTCACTACAGAGGAGGCCCGCCTGCACCTGCACCAGTGAGCAGGACCTCATTCTGTGGAGAGTTGCTCACGGGCAGGATAGCTGAGACCATGGTTGAGGTGAATGGAGTACAGGTCAACACCACAACCATACCGGGAGAAGGCTACAGCTCTACCATTGTCTTCACTCCAACCTTCCATGGCTGATGGCTCAGAGATAGAGGTGGCCTGTCTGGTACAGAGAGAACTGTTCCAGATCATTGAGGGCTGACACAGGACCCTCGTGGTGTTCAGTGAGTTACACCACTGGAAAGGTGTGGAGGGGCTGTAGCTGAGCCCAGCTCCAGATGAGCAAACAGATGAGAGTACAGCTTCATATCGCAAGTTCTAGTTGGAAGAGACGGACCTTTCCCCACACATTTTACATTGGGGTGGTAACAAAGAAGATTACTGTGCAGTTGGAACCTTCCACTGGAGAGCTCTCATGGTTGGTTGCAGGGTATCACTCCTGCAAACCAAACCGTAATTCCTTGCTACCCAGTAACATGCATCAGCCAGTCTTTACTACTAGTAGTAATTTCCTAGCATATTGGACACTATGTTAGTACATTTCTGGCCAGTTTGTGCCATGATCTTAGTAATAAGACAATCTCCATCTGATGATGCACCCTAACATACAGATTCCTGGAATGTCTGCCAGTCTCTCTCGGGCACTGGCTCAATGACTGGAATTTGAGCCTTCAGCTCCCCTACCATTGAGAGAGTGGCCCTACCTCTTAGTGAGTCATGACCACACCCACTGACCACACCCCCATTCATGTGTTCTGTTGCGTGCAGGTCCCAATGTGGAGAGAATAATGCACGAGCCACACCCATTGTGGTAGAAGATGAAATTCTGATAGAGTTGGTCTTTGAGGTGAGTGCCTGTTATAGTTGTGACCCTGGACTCTTTCTTTTCCCTCTGCCCCAGCTACCACCACATGTGATGAGGTGACCTACCCAATACTGAACTATGATCACCATTCCTGAGCTCCCTTCTCCGCGACCCTCCCCACACTGGGAAGGGTGTGGCCCTCAAACCTCTCGTCCCTGATTTCACCATTGCCAACTACTCCATCATCATCAGTTGCCTTGCCAGTTTTGGATGTCGCCCTCTGACACTCTGTTAGTCTCCTCTCTCTCATGTCGTCCACTTTTTTACTCCACCACTGTTGGCAGCTTTGCGTAATATGACATTGAAAAACAGTTTTTGAATCAGAATTTTTAGGGAGTAAACTGTCTTGTTCTGTTGTTGGATCCCTGCCTAAACATTTTCCTGCACCTATCTCGTCACTACAGTACCTCTCTTTTCTTCCACTTTATCTTATATCTCTCAATCCACCCCTTCCCCCAGTGACCAGTGAAGTCCAGAGTGCCAGTATGTTGTTCCTGAGCACCACAGTTTCCTTGACATGTGAGTTCACAGCCACTGGGTCAGCCAGTGCCTGCAGGTTCACTCTGACCCTGGCCTCTGGAGACAGCGAGAGTCTCGAAATTCCTCGACCAGAATAACAGGTTCATTCCCCTCTTCTTCTTATCTCCATCGTTTCCTCTTTCTCCTTCTCTTTTCCTTTCTCTGTACACTGGAGAGCATTCTATGGACAGATAATTATACTTCAGCAATTCCCTTATCTCCTTGTATTTGCCTTCAGTTATCATCTCCCTCCTGTCCCTATTCTTATCCTCTCTTCTGCATGCTCTAATGACAGACATGGTGGAGAAATCAACACTCTCCAATTGTGAGCTCCACACCACACCCACTCATGCATGACTAGTCACTCAAAGTATACATGTAGCATTCCTGCCTTTGTGATCCACTCAATACCTCAACCTGAACATGCAATTACGTAATAGTAATTCCCCCTTCCCCTCTGCAGCTGAGATAGCAGCCATCATCATAGTAGTTCTATATAGTGCTGTTCATTCTCCTGGTCCTGACCCTCTGTGGCATCGCCTTGTGGAAGAGACAGACTGTAGGTCATATAACTAATCACATGACCCATGACATCATCAGTCACACCCTCAGATATCCTCGGCTTACAAGAACTGGGTCCACCCCCTGACCGAAGAGGAGGGAATAGATCTGATGACAGAAGGGAGGCCCAGCCACCACACCCACTGATAAACCAACCATCATGATGCTAATAAACAACCTTGTCCCTACCGTTTGCAGCTTCTGAAGAAGAGGAGTTGAGTAACTGGAGCCCCACTCTCTTGTGGCTGGGATTTTCATTCTTCTTTACTGGAATAGCCCTTGCAATTGGTGGGAGCATTTCTGTTCACCAGAGAGTCAAGAAATATGGAGGTAGCTATAATTATAAATAAGATGATTTATGTGGAGAGTAAGCTACGTATAGCTATATACTGCTGGGAATAGATTTTGCATGTAAGAGCAATTATGTTTACCTGAGACTCTGAGAGCCAAGATATATTATGGAGGTAGCTATAATATAAATTACTGTGTATAGATGATTTCTGTGAAGAGTTGTATATCTGCTGCTGTTTTGGTTATTACAGCGGTTGTGAAGAAGTGGTACTGGGGTTTGCGGGCTTTCTTTATATTCTTCACCGTCGCGGCCGTACCTCTGTGGCTGGCCCTGCTGGGATACACCGTCAGTAATGGTACGTAGCTACCTACCATCGCTGTTAGTCTATTTATTGTCTCCCTCTGGATATAAGTGCTGCTAAAATAATTTTAATGTTTTTTGTGTGAGTTTCAAAGTATACGAGAACCATTTTGTTCATTTTTTATATATACCAAGCAAGTAAACTGCAGAATGAAAATGGTTAAACAAACAAAAAAACTCCCTCACAGTTTTCACTATGTGTAGGACTGTGGTACTCAGCATACTGTACACAATAAGTGTGTATGCTGGTGAGCATAATTATCATAGTGCCCCCACTGATAATGTGTGTCTCCAGATTTCTCTGAAGACGATGGTGATCTGAGAGGGAGCGACTCGTCCTGCCAGTCTCCCAGTGGGAAGACAAATGTGAGGGACGGCATTCTGATTGCCGTCTTCGTCCTCAGCAATCTGGTCAATCTGACGGGGAACCTCCTCTTGGGATTAGGATACTGCGGACTCCAGTACTTTGAATCTGACGGGTAAGGTCCCACCCCTTCTTATACAGGCAGCTCTATAGACTCTCTATGAAAAGGTTACTCTCTCTCTCTCTATCACAGGACTCCAATACCTACCAGATGTTGTTGTTGTGGCAAGGTCAGCTATTATCAAACCAGTTGTGTTAGTTTGTGTGTAGTATATACTGCACATATGGAGAGGAGTAGAAACATGATCGAGGACCCTCCGGAATAGCCTATTAAGAACACTTGTTGATAGGACACTTAAATGTAGCATGTTCCCAAGGATGTTCAGAGTGTTACCTGTAGTAATGGCTTAAAACATGAGCACAACAACCGCTCCCAGAGCAGGTATGTATATGTATGTATGTAAACCATAGCTCTGTATTGAAATTCACTAGCCAAGCATATCCCATGTCACTACGCGCATGAATGTGACAGAGATTATACAATATGACATAAACATACTTATGTTCCTCTCTACTCTCAGAACAAGTGTCGTCAAGGTTGTGGTCCTCCTAGTGTAGGCAACAAAATCCCTCTCAAGGAGGAGATCTAAGCGTGACACTCGGCACTATCGATGGCTGGTGAGTGCCAAGTTGCTGCCAATTTGGCTAAGTGCCCAACTATAATGTTGTAACCGGCAAAAGTGTTATGGGCTTAATGGCATAGTATGCTACAGCCTGTGCACTTTAGATGTATGACCTTGAGATAATGTAGCACAGTGTATAATATATAGCTATGATATACGTGCATGTGGGTTATGACCACCACAATGATAAATATTCCCTGAGGACTCTGTGTTTGTTTAGGTTGTTGGGATTGCTGTTGTAAGGGGTGAGTTTATGGAATGTAATCCAGTAGTAGAGTGACAGAATGCATGTGAGATCAAGCAAATGTGCATGTAATACCTCAGAGAACGTGTCAGAACTGATCTATGCGGATCCATACGCATGGCAAGCATGATGACAATTAATGGTTGTAGTAGTGCAGTTGCCAAGACGTCAGAGCACATGCACAATCAGGGGGGAAACTCCCGATTGACGAATCACTCCCCTAGAAGGTAATTATACTGGGTCTTGATGTGATATGGTACCCCTTTCTCTTTGCAGATATAATTTTGAAAGACACTGTACTATATACCTTCATACACAGTACTCTAACCTTATACTTTGCAGTGCTTATGTAAACTTGTTGTAGACTTGTGTCTACCATAAAATTATTATTGTTATATAGGAGTATTATCTAAGCATAGAGCCAGGCAACTAGACTCATTTCCTCATTGGAGGGGGAGGGGAGAAGGTGGGGGGAGGGGAGGGGAGGGGGAGAGGAAACACTATAACTATAAGTAGAAACATTTTTCCACTTGTTATGCATACCTCGGAGCGCAAAATTTTCTGCAACGAAAACTTGTTGAGTATCTCATGTGTTATAGTCAGTAACTTCAGAAGAAAGAAGAGCCATATTATAGAATGTAAAGCTGTTTGCACGTGTGTGTATGAAAGCCCCATGCTCTATATTATACACAAAGGAGAAAAGGGTTAAATAGGGGCAGACATCCTGCCCATCAAAGTATACACAGACCAATGCAAGTTTAACACGCAGTGGTGTAGACAGAAAAATTGTTTTTCAACTCGACTAAGAAGCAATTACGGGGATAAGCTACAATCGTACTGAATGTTCACATGTTGGTAATTATAGCTACATCACAGCTGCACTTGTCCATAAGCAGTGTTGCGAGAGGTGGGGACGTTGTCCTTGTGTATAGGACCATATGCCTCATTGGAGGTCAACTGAATGTCTTGTGAACTCTTGACCTCTCTTGCCACATCCACCTCCTCATAGGTGACTGGTGGAGGGAGGGGAGGGGGAGAGGAGGAGGTGGGGCCAGACACCTGCCCCTCACTCTCTGTATGAGGTACAGTCCCACCACTCCCAGTAGAACTCCAATAGTTAGAAACACAAGACTGCACACAACACCAACAACGACTATTACAGTTTGATCGTCTTCCGTTAATCCAGATTCAGTAGTACTATTGGTACATTGAGGTGTGGTGCTTTCCAACTCACTTTCGTTACTGATTATCAGCTCGAGAGCTGTCCATATGTTATCCTTACATCTTCTCTCCAGGATTCTAACTCCATTGACTAGATAGCCTTTTGAAGCTCTGTATGTGGCCGATGATCCCAGGGACACGCCATTGTAGGTCACATTTCCTCCAGGAAATGAATAGACACCCTGTCCATCAGCTGTGAACTCTGGTATTGCTGTCCAGTCAACACCAGGTGACAGTAAATCTTCTGGAGAACAAACTGCGAAAGAATTACATTCAGTACGGTTCAGAAACAAGCAACAAAGGAACAGCTCACCTGACGAAGTATTCTTCAAACCTATTCTCAGAGTGACACATCCCACCACATCCACAGTCACAGAAGAGGAAGAAGTGAGAGAGTCAGAGTAATGGATGTAGCCACACATCTTTCCCACTACAGTCTTGTGATGTCACAATCTCAATGACTTGTTCATCAATTACAACTCTGTAGGCAGTCTCTCTACCAAGAACCTGATGAAATAGTACTTCTCATCGTAATGGAACATGTGGTACTTGGGAAGCTTACAAAATATCGTCCCCACGTGAGGTTAACAGCGTCTACATCCAGGGTCATTATATTGTAGATATAGTTGAAGGAAGACTCAACTCCACCACTACTGCCGGCTGTAGTACACATACAATCAACCTCTATTATGTACATACACAATATCAACCCCACCTGTGAGGTTCACAGTGTACACATCACTGGTGTTGGCACAAGTACTGACAGTAAAGTCATACTCCAGACCAACACTTCCATCCACAGAGAGTGTAATCTGGGACTCAGTGGTAGAGAAGGTCTCCACTGGACTACCACTGATGACCTCACAGTCACCAGATCCAGACAGACATGGAGTGGCAGTCACAGTGTATGGGACATCTCCACTGCAACTGACAACAGCCTCACTCCACTCCAAACTCAGTTGACACATGTTTTCTTCATCACCAAATCCACTGACTGTGGCAAACTGGAATTCTGGGGACTCCAGCATATTCACATCTGTACACAACAATGACAATTCCAGTTTAGCTATTCTATATAACGTTCTTGCATGGGTGGGTGACTATATTAATAGTATAGATGAAACGCTCGTGAAAACTAGTGAAATTCTAGCGGTTTAGGCTTTTTTGGGAGTAAAAACCGGTGCGCTACTTCACCGGGAGCGAACAGGCTGTTGTCATTGTGTGCAGTGGCTTTATTCTGCCTCCTAATGTATACACAGTGTCACAGGCATATTAGAGTTTCCACGAAAAATAGCTGGGGCCACATTCAGAGGTATTTTTTACCTTTTCAGTGCAGGGGATATGCCCCTTTGCCAGTAGGCTCTATACATAGCTCAAAAACCTATGTGACACAGAAAAAGCAACTGCGCTGAACCGTTTGCTCCCAGTAAAGACATTCACTGGTTTCTCTCCCACAGAGAATGTATGCATGTATGGAGGAGGTCTATGAAAAATGCTAATAATGCACTTGTAAAACAAGGCCGGAAACTCTGGAACAGAATACAACTGTGTGTGACTGAGGAAGGCTGTATAAACTGGACACAGAAATTAACCCTTCACCTATAACACAGATGACTTTGGACCCAATGAGGTTATCATTTCCATCAGAGCATCTCACAGATGTTCCACTGAGATCACTAGTTATTGAGTCAACACTCAGAGAAGAGTTGCTAGGGTCTCCATTCACATCAGTCACAGATGATGTGAATATATCTCCTGGTCCACAATTTTCTGTGTTAAGGGGATTATTCCGTCTGTAGGTACAGCTGTCACCATTTCCTCCAGAGTTGACTGTCCAGATGGTGACAGTAGTAGTGTTTACTACACAAGTGAATGTGACATCATCTCCAGGACATATCCCACTAGATGGTCCAGTGAACTGACTCACTGTCCCTGAAATTGTTCAAAGTGGCAGAGTAGCCAAAGAGCTTGTACACATACTTTACCTAAAAACAAAGCCAAGACCCAGAATCCAGACAACCAGGGTGAGATACTCATCCTTGAATGCTTTAGATATGTTTAACTCCTCACAAACGGGTTAAAGTGTTAATTAACCACTCATGAGGAATGCTTTTTGTACGTGTAGGCAGAGTGTGGGCAACTATTTCAACAGTCGTGGGAATTCCAGGCACATTGCTATGAATAACTGTTGAATTCCCTGCTAAGTTCAGTAGCCAATTTCGCGTGAAGCACTGAAAATTGGTGATCTGTAGTTTTCATACACATGTAAAGGATAAACATTCTAAGAAAATAACAGACACATATGACATGTGTTCACACGGCTATCTACACCATCACAGCTGCACTTGTCCATAAGCAGTGTTGCGAGAGGTGGGAATGTTGTCCTTGTGTATAGGACCATAATTATGCCTCATTGGAGGTCAGCTGAATGTCTTGCGAACTCTTGACCTCTCTTGCCACACCCACCTCCTCATAAGTGACTGGTGGAGGGAGGGGAGGGGGAGAGGAGGAGGTGGGGCCAGACGACCTGCCCCTCACTCTCTGTGTGAAGTACAGTCCCATCACTCCCAGTAGAACGCCAACAGTAAGAAATGCAAGACTGCAAACACTATTGCAGTTTGACTGTCGTCTTTTTCTGGAGAAACTACGCATTCTTCTGGTTTAAACTCTATGGGAAAATATAATGCATGCACTAACCATTATACTTTGAGGTGTAATATATACAACCATTGATTATCTCCACACATTGAGGAGTGGTACCATTCCAGAGGCCACTAGACAGACATTCTCTGGTAGTGTCTCCCTCTAGACTATAGCCATCATCACAGAAGTAGACTGCCACTGATCCTACACTGTCTCCACTATAACACACCCCACCACCACTCACTGACCCACACACTCTGTTCTCCTCAACCAGAGAGGGAGACAAGTCCCTCAATGAACAATCTGGTACACAAAGAAGCACCAGTCATTGAGAGATGAGGTGAGACTGGGAGTTGTCTCACTCACAGACTGGTCTCTCCAGACACACTGTCTGTCTAGTCACACAGCCAGCAGTCTCCACAGACACTCCAAACTCTCCTCTACTGCTGGCTGCTGGGTAGTATGTGTGGCTGCATCGAATGGAGCTACAGTTGACAGCTCCCACTCTCTCCCTCACTCTAGACCCCACACCATCCTCTATCACCACTGTGTACTCTGGCCCTTCTGGATTGTTATGCTGTTACAAACAAGAGGTTTTAACAGATTGTTTGCTACTCTCAATTGGTCTGAGTGTGCGGGTTGATATACCAAGCTCATGTCGTTCACACATATATATCCGCAACATCTGACATATATATATCACGTGTGTTCTGGTCCTGCATTAGCTAATACCTCATGCATTCTGTAGAAGCACTGACAGCTATAGTCTCAGAGCATCTATATAGTGGCACTCTCGCATATTACAGTTCACGCTGTAATTCGACTCGTATATAAGTGAATATTTACACACTCATCAATTTTTCCTCCAATCCCGTTCTGTGGTGGTGCCGTCGTATCACGGTGGAAGCGTATGCTGACGTCTCAGTCAGTGATCCACCACAGGTATCATCAGCTGATATCTCGCTCTCGTCTCCATTCTCCAGTATGTCCTGACTAGTTCACCCAGTGAACTTGATTGGGTTGAGTACCAGGTGTGTGATGACTGAACTACCATCCATGGACCACACAGTCTCCAGATGACTGCGGCAATCAGAGGTGGTGGAGTCAGGTCAACACATCTAGTCTGAGCTAATCCCTCGACCCCAATATCACTATTCATGTCAGGCACCCCATACCTCATAATAAATTCACGATCCATCACTCTCTCTGTGTTTAGAAACACTCACTAAACGATGTGTTGACAGAAGGTGAATGTGGAGCTGAGGCACATTCCTAAACATAGAAAATGTCTGAGGCAAGCAAAAGTTTGAGGCACAGCGTACCTACAATACAGATGTTGTCTGTATCAACATTGGTTACCACTAACATTACCATCTGCACATCCAACCATAGTTGTATTGTAGATTTTCTGTAATTGAGACCAGACTCAAGAGAAGAGCTAAAGTCGCTTGCACTGTCTTCAGTTTGAGATATTATTAAAACATTTCATCTTGGTGTGGATTGCAATACGGTTGATCTAAAGCGCTGAATAAATAACATGTTCTGTCAGGCTCTCCAGGTGGACTGACAGTCCAGCGGGTACTCCACTGTCTACTACACAAGTGAATGTGACATCATCTCCAGGACATATCTCATCTGGTCCAGTGAACTGACTTAGTATTCCTAAATTGTGTTAGCTATAGTTATGCTCCCAATTTCCTATAACCTCAGACACTTTACCTGAGAAAGAAGCACAGACACAGAGTGTAGGCAGCCAATGTGTACTCATTTTGGATCACTCTTGTGTGAATAACCCTTTTCTCAAGGGTTAACCAGAACTTCATGCATGAGAAACTGCTGACATATCTGTCATCCTGTGAATACTAAATTTTACTACAAGTAGGAAATGGATCATGGCACAGTAAATCATGTGTGGTTAAACAAAATGTAGTATCAGGTAAACATACGATACAATGTCGAGTACACTATGAAGCCTTAGCCTAATGTCAGCAAAGACTAGTCAAAGCAATCTACACATTTAGTCCCTTTCAGGATGTCATACCTGACTGTAACTTAAGCTATCTCCACTAAGTGAGAGTGTGTTCTCTTCCCCATCAAATGTTACTGCACATGGATAATACTTTGTTCTTGTGAGTGTTATTCATTAACACTACCCAACAACCAGTGACGCACAAACCAATTATTAAGGAATACATCCTACAAAATTCGGTGGAGGGTTGTTCCAAATATTATGGTACTGGAATGTTAATCTGGGTCATTATTGAGTTTAAACATTCTCTTCATTCATTAGGGTTAATGCTGCATGCATAAATGTGTGTCAGGACATGCATTGAACTCCCTCAGTTTTGTCTTCTTATGGTGTTAGAACTATGCACATAAACAATCACGGATACTATAGCAACAGTGTAACAGCAACCTACAGAGCTATCTAACAAGTTTCAGTTTCTCCGACCAAGATAAACAACTTCAAGAGCATCACAAGTGTACTTGTCCATAAGCAGTGTTGCGAGAGGTGGGAATGTTGTCCTTGTGTATAGGACCATATGCCTCATTGGAGGTCAGCTGAATGTCTTGTGAACTCTTGACCTCTCTTGCCACACCCACCTCCTCATAGGTGACTGGTGGCTGTATGGAGGATAGTGGGTCAACTACCTCATACACAACCTGTTCCTGCTGTGTTTCTCTTCTCTGCATGTTGTGGATAGACACATAAATTTGAAGGAAGGTGTAAATGCAGGTTTTAGATTACCTTTCGGCAACACATAAGTCGCTTTCTTTGCTTCCGTGATTCTCTGAAAAAAGATACATTTCATGTTCAATAAGAGTGGTCATGCCCAGCTACCAGTGGGAGCTTAGGTGGTTAAATTTACTCTCCCTATACCACACCCACTCATTTTGGTTAGTTGATTCATACCCCTGAGATGAGGGAGGGTTAGCACACTTGACAGTAGTGAGACAGACGAGCCACCCACTCAGGACCAGAAGTGAGAGGACAAAGGAAGCTATCAGCAGACCATCTCTAACACCCACTGTTCCACTGGGAGTCTGACACAAGGAGTCATCTCCTCTCACATATCCATCATCCTCTGAGAAATCTGATGACAAGTGAAATGTACACTAATACACTTAATTAGGTAGCCAACCAACCTTACCATTTGCAACCACGTATCCAAGGAATGCAAGCCATAGAACAGTCTCTAGAACAGGAGTAACTATCACAAGGAACAATGTTGGAAAACACCAGGCAGTGCCTGCAGGGATTGAAACTCACTATCTATACAGACACAGACTACCAACACTACCTTTTGTAGTTCTCTGGGAGAGTAGTATTACCACTACAACAGAAATTCCCACTCCAGCAATGAAGAACAAGAGTCCTATCACTATCATTGCAATGTTTGAAGTACTCAACTTTCCTGGCTGATAGGCTGCATGAAAATGGAGAAAGCTTTTAAACCGATCTTAGTCACAGACTTAGCAAGATTTCTTTACCTTTTCTTCAGTAGGTGTCTGTCCACTCCATGACATGTCAACACATGATCTTAGTACTGGTGAATCACTCAAGATGCAGTAGTCTTGAGAAGTAGTGTAGGTAGCAGTACTGCCATTGGCAAGCCCAGTGTATGTTGAACACAGAGTGTCACCATTACAGCATATAGTGTTATTAGCCGGGAAAGCTGGGTTGTTACATGACAGTAGATCACCCGCTAAACAAACTGGAAGAAATACAAACATGGAGTAAATAATGATCATTTCCTCTCTGATGTAGACATCACTTTCAATAATCTCTGTTGATGGTGTCCAGCTACCATTATTCAGACATCTCCTGGTGTCACTTCCATTGATATGATAGTGTGCATTAGTGGTGGTGTAGGTAGCAATAGATCCCAGGGACACTCCATCAAATGTCACATTCCCTCCAGAGAATGAGTAGTTACCCACACCATTGTTAAAATCTGCCGATTCATTCCAACTAGCACTGGGTACCAGCAAATCACTTGGATCACAAACTGTCAAAAGGAACAAGATTAGATAATGACAAAAAAACCTTCCCTCACTCACAAATGGATATGTCAGAGGCATCGATCCTCTGGGTGACACAACCCAGGACCTCCACAGCCACAGAATATGAGGTAGTGATGCTGTCAGAGGAAAAGGTGTAGCTGCAGTTGTCTCCAGTGCAGCTGTCTGCAGTGACAATATCAACTGTTGTCTCAACTCCAGATCCATTACTGATGACAACTCTGTAGTCTGCCTCTGTCCTAGAACCTGACATTAACAAGAGTTAATTACTACCATTTGTATAGGAATGTCTTACATAAGCTCTTGGCCAGTTGACAATGATGGAGTCTACATCCAGTGATGTCACGGTGGACATTATATTGTACACATATTGATAGGTGAAAGGTTGATTTGTTCTCTCCATAGCTAGCAATGCAAGTATGCATGAAAAATGACAGTGATACATCAGCTAGTGTCATTGAAACATTAGAACTAACAGTATTCTAACCTCTTAAATTTGGCTGTGTCATTGCCAATCTCTTCCAGTCAGTGATCCATCACATGTGTCAGCTCTTACAAGTAATGTCACTCTGACTGATATCGACATTGAAAGTGTATGGTGGCTGTATGGAGGATAGTGGGTCAACTACCTCATACACAACCTGTTCCTGCTGCGTTTCTCTTCTCTGCATGTTGTGGATAGACACATAAATTTGAAGGAATGTGTAAATGCAGGTATTAGATTACCTTTTCGGCAACACATAAGTCGCTTTCTTTGCTTCCGTGATTCTCTGAAAAAAGATACATTTCTATGTTCAATAAAGTGCGCACGCCCAGCTACCAATGCAGTTTAGGTTAATTTACTCTCCCATATATTACCATCCACTCATTTTGAATCCCCACATTCATACCCCTGAGATGAGGGAGGGTTAGCACACTTGACAGTAGTGAGACAGACGAGCCACCCACTCAGGACCAGAAGTGAGAGGACAAAGGAAGCAATCAGCAGACCATCTCTAACACCCACTGTTCCACTGGGAGACTGACACATATCCTGCTGCGTTTCTCTTCTCTGCATGTTGTGGATAGACACATAATCTAATACCTGCATTTACACATTCCTTCAAATTTATGTGTCTATCCTCTCACATATCCATCATCCTCTGAGAAATCTTACATGCAAGCAGTTTTAATGATCAGACAATACTTTTGATAATTATGACTAACTCACCATTACTCACAGTATATCCAACAAATGCTAACCATAGAATGAAGTTTAAAGTGTGAGAATTACTGCAAGAGTCAGCACCATCTTGCACCACTACAAAATGGTTCCTTCATGGGGAATAGTCCGTTTACACCAAACAATTGGCTGGAAAGATCCTAGACTTAAAGCATGAGCTGGTAATAGACCTGTGGCTGCCCAGACACACATGACAATAGGCAGCGTCTCTCGCATTTTAAAATTAAAAACACTAGGTACAAAATACTGAAAACTTACCACAGGTCTTGAATATCCATACTGCCACTACAGCTGACACTACCAGTCCAGTGAAATAGAAGAGCAATCCGAGTACCAAGAGTGCTATGTTTGACGAACTCAATTGTTGAGGTACAGAAACTGCAAGTAGATATAATACACTCAATTCAGTTTCTCCATAAGCTTTCCCTACACCTTTACTTGTAGCAGGTATTACTTCACCCCACCTCAATGCACTGTAATATGCTGCACTAGTGCTGGTATTACGCACCATACATGCACATAAAGTACAGCTAATCAATGTAAGTGTACATACTGTAGTTTAGATGTGATAAAAACTGCTTGTCAGAATTTGTTCTGATATATTTGAACTTGCTGTCAATTGTCGCGTGTAGTGTAAAGAGAGTTTTAACCATTAATGTTTGGTCCAAGAGAACTCTTTACCTTCTTTTATAGTCGGTATCTCTCCACTCCATGACAGGTCAGCACCACATGTTCTCTCAGGTGGAGAATCACTTGGAATACAGTATCCACTAGAAGTAGTGTAGGTTGCAGTACTGCCAATGAGAAAATCTCTGTATCGTGCACATATACTGTTGCCGCTGCAACACATCAGGTTGTCAGTAATGGGAGTTGGGTCGTCACATGGTAGTAGCTCATCCTCAGGACATGCTAAGAAAACAGAAGGCAGCCACTAAGGCCATACACAGTAGAAACCACAGTATTGCATGACAACAGTGTCTGTCTTAAACCGAAAATGTCTTTGCCCAGCGGGCATGTGTATAATTGACTCAAAACTTAGTCATATACGAAGTAACAAGGGTATAATTGCCCTGTGAATAATTAAAATGCTGCACTAGTGCTGTATGATGCAGGCACTATACCACATAAAGCACGGCTAATCAATGCACTGGGCAGGTGCTTGGGTATGTGTACATACTGTAGTTTATATGTGATAAAAACTGCTTGTCAGAATTTGTTCTGATATCTTTAAAACTTGCTGTCAATTGTCGTGTGTAGTGTAAAGAAAGGTCACGTGCAAATAAAAGAGGAACACAAATACACAAAACTGTGTACGTGCAATGAGGGCTCAGATGTTAGAGGTTAAACGAGACATCACTCACTTGCATTCGTGATATTCACCTCAGGCCAACCATCTGCCCCACACGTACTAACTAGCGATGAACTTCCGTTGAATAAAAAGCCTCCTGCAGTTCTGTATGTGGCAGTAGATCCCAGGGACAGTCCATAGTAGGTCACATTTCCACCAGGAAAGGAATAGACACCCGTTCCATTGCTGATAGTTGGTGTGCGATCCCAGTCACACCAGGTGACAGGAGGTCTTGAGGTGAACAAACTACAGTAGCAAGTATAACTGTATTTTCTTTGCTCAAACAAACAGAGATATACTCTTACAAGAAGAAATATTCATTGGACTTATTCTCTTAGTGGTACATCCAACAATATCCACTGCCACAGAGGGGGTGTGGTGAGAGATCAGGGTAATGGACATAGGTACAGATCTCTGCACTACAGTTGTCTGCTGCCACGATATCAATGGTTTCTTCGTTATAACACTCTGTAGGATGCTTCGCTATTCAGCACCTGATGAAATGCAAAAATGTTTTATCTGCATCGACACACTGCTTTCTCAGAACACTTACATAATATCTCGGCCAGGTGACATTGATAACATCTATAGTCAGTGTAACATTATCGTAGACATAGTAGAAGAAAGACTCATCTCCACTACTATTAGCTGCAGTGGAATGATCAGACATGGCTATGTACAGTCATCTAATACTGACATACCTGTGAGGTTCACAGTGTACACATCACTGGTGTTGGCACAAGTACTGACAGTAAAGTCATACTCCAGACCAACACTTCCATCCACAGAGAGTGTAATCTGGGACTCAGTGGTAGAGAAGGTCTCCACTGGACTACCACTGATGACCTCACAGTCACCAGATCCAGACAGACATGGAGTGGCAGTCACAGTGTATGGCACATCTCCACTGCAACTGACAACAGCCTCACTCCACTCCAAACTCAGTTGACACATGTCTCCAAATCCACTGACTGTGGCAGACTGAAACTCAGAGGACTCCATACATCTGTAGACAACAATGACAATACCAGTTCAGTCAGTCAAACATCACACCATGCTTGTGTTGGTGGGTGACTATTCATAGCACAGCTGAAACACTCATCAACTATAGTGGATTTTTAGGCAGCGGCATTCTTTCTGCCTCCTACTGCCTCCTACGGTACACACAGGCATATTAGAGCATGTAAAATGGCATGGCCACGTTCTGACGAAATTAGCAACACCACATTGTTTTCATCAACCAGTCTTTTCTCGATCTGCCTGGCACACATTAGCAAAAGTAATTCATAGCCAGAGTGAGAAAGGGCTGTAGGACACACAAATTAACCCTTTACCTATAACACAGATGTCTCTGGATCCAATGATGTTAGCATTTCCATCAGAACATCTCACAGATGTTCCACTGAGATCACTAGTTATTGAGTCAACACTCAGAGAAGAGTTGCTAGGGTCTCCATTCACATCAGTCACAGATGATGTGAATATACCTCCTGGTCCACAGGTCCGTGTGTTAGACTATTCGGGCTGTAGATACAGTCTGCTTCAACTCCTCCAGAGTTGACTGTCCAGATGGTGACAGTAGTAGTGTTACTACACAAGTGAATGTGACATCATCTCCAGGACATATCCCACTAGATGGTCCAGTGAACTGACTCACTGTTCCTGAAATTGTTCAAAGTGGCAGAGTAGCCAAAGAGCTTGTACACATACTTTACCTAAAAACAAAGCAAAGACCCAGAATCCAGACAACCAAAATGAGATATTCATCCTTGTAGTCCAACTTCAAACAATCCAGCACTTGGAATAATATGCTGTATTCTGAGCTGTGGGCTGACAGTATTGGACAGGAAGTCCTTATCACAACATCTAGCGCTAGGTGTAATGCAAATTGTCTGGCTTCAAAGGTTTATACAACAATCCATTAGTAAATTAGTATATAGAATGACACAGCAGAAATTCAGCATTGTGATTGGCTAGTTTGACGACAAATCAGTTAATGTCAGGCATCTAGCCGCATAGAGGAATCCTCCTTGGCTGTTAACTAATACTTAAATGCTTTAGATATGTTTAACTCTTCACAAAGGGGTTAAAGAGTTAATTAGCCACTCATGCATGAGGAATGCTTTTTGTATGTGTGGGCGAGTGGGCAACTATATCAACAGTCATGGAAATTCCAGGCACATTGCAATAACTGTCAAATTTCAAGTGGCCAATTTCACTGAAAATTGGTGCTCTGTATATAATTTCCACAAACATTATAAAGGGATAAACATTCTAAGAAAATAACATGTGTTCACATGACTATCTAAATACACCATACTTGTCCATAAGCAGTGTTGTGAGAGGTGGGAATGTTGTCCTTGTGTATGGACCATATGCCTCATTGGAGGTCAGCTGAATGTCTTGTGAACTCTTGACCTCTCTTGCCACACCCACCTCCTCATAGGTGACTGGTGGGGGGAGGGGAGGGGGAGAGGAGGAGGTGGGGCCAGACAACCTGCCCCTCACTCTCTGTATGAGGTACAGTCCCACCACTCCCAGTAGAACTCCAATAGTTAGAAACACAAGACTGCACACAACACCAACAATTACTACTGTAGCTTCATTATCCTCTTTTATTTCAGATCCAGTCTCATGCTCTAAATGAAAGAAGGTTGGACATAATTATTAATCGTAGCATTTTCCCCCACACATTAAGGTGTGGTGCATTCGACTCACTTGCATTGCTGATTATCAGCTCAGGAGCTGTCCACATGTTATTAATTGTGCATCTTCTCTCCAGGATTCTAACTCCATTGACTAGATAGTCTTTTGAAGTTCTGTATGTGGCAGTAGATCCCACGTAAACTCCATTGTAGGTCACATTTCCTCCATGAAATGAATAGACACCTTGTCCATCAGCTGTGAACTCTGGCATTGCTGTCCAGTCAACACCAAGAAACAGCAGGTCTTCTGGAGAACAAACTGAAGAAAATAGAAGTTTATATCCAGTACGTTCAGAAACAAGGAACATCTCACCTGGTGAAGTATTCTTCAAACTTATTCTCTGAGTGCCACATCCCACCACATACACAGCCACAGAAGAGCAAGAATTGAGAGAGTCAGAGTAATGGATGTAGCCACACATCTCTCCACTACAGTCTTGTGATGTCACAATCTCAACGACTTGTTCATCAATTACAACTCTGTAGGCAGTCTCTCTACCAAGAACCTTATGAAAATTTCTCGTCATAATGAATCATGTGGTACTTGGGAAGCTTACATAATATCTTCCCCAGGTGACGTTAACAGCGTCTACATCCAGGGTCATTATATTGTAGATATAGTTGAAGGAAGACTCAACTCCACTACTACTGGTGGCTGTAGTACACATACAATCAACCTCTATTATGTACATACACAATATCAACCCCACCTGTGAGGTTCACAGTGTACACATCACTGGTGTTGGCACAAGTACTGACAGTAAAGTCATACTCCAGACCAACACTTCCATTCACAGAGAGTGTAATCTGGGACTCAGTGGTAGAGAAGGTCTCCACTGGACTACCACTGATGACCTCACAGTCACCAGACCCAGACAGACATGGAGTGGCAGTCACAGTGTATGGCACATCTCCACTGCAACTGACAACAGCCTCACTCCACTCCAAACTCAGTTGACACTGTTTTCTCGTCACAAATCCACTGACTGTGGCAGACTGAAACTCAGAGGACTCCAATACATCTGTAGACAACAATGACAATACCAGTTCAGTTAGTCAAACATCACACCATGCTTGTGTTGGTGGGTGACTATTCATAGCACAGCTGAAACACTCATCAACTATAGTGGATTTTCTAGGTAGCGGCGTTCTGTGCGCCTCCTACAGTACGCACAGGCATACTAGAGCGTATAAAGAGGGCATGGCCACGTTCTGACAAAATTAGCAACACCACATTGCTTCCATCAAACCAGTCTTCAAACAATCCAGCACTTGGAATAATATGCTGTATTCTGCATCCTTTAATGTATTTAACTCCTCAAAAAAGGAGTTAAAGAAACCACTCATGAGGAATGTGTGTAGGCAAAAAGAGTGGGCAACTATTTCAACACTCGTGGGAATTCCATGCACATTGCTATGAATAACTGTCGAATTCGCTGCTAAGTTCAATGGCAAGTTTCGTGTGGTGTCAAAAAGCACTGAGCATTTTATGGTTTCCACAAACATGTAAATGACAATTTAAAGAAAATTATCTGACATGTGTCCACATGGCTTTCTAAATACACTATCACAGCTGCAATTGTCCATAAGCAGTGTTGTGAGAGGTGGGAATGTCGTCCTTGATTACTGGACCATATGCCTCATTGGAGGTCAGCTGAATGTCTTGTGAACTCTTGACCTCTCTTGCCACACCCACATCATCATAGGTGACTGGTGGAGGGATGGGAGGGGGAGAGGAGGAGGTGGGGCCAGACGACCTGCCCCTCACTCTCTGTATGAGGTACACTCCCAGCACTCCCAGTAGAACGCCAATAGTTAGAAACACAAGACTGCAAACAATGCTGGCAACCACTGCTGCAGTTTGACTGTCGTCTTTTTCTGGAGAAACTATGCATTCTTCTGGTTTGCACTCTATGAGAAAATATAATGCATGCACTAACCATTTTACTTTGAGGTGTACCATTGATTATCTCCACACATTCAGGAGTGGTAAATTGTCTGGCTTCCAAAGTTTACACAACAGGTCATTAGTAATTAGTGCAGGATGACACAGCAGAAATTCAGCATTGTGATTGGCTAGTTGGACTACATGAGGAATGCTTTTTGTATGTGTGGGCGAGTGGGCAACTATATCAACAGTCATGGAAATTCCAGGCACATTGCAATAACTGTCGAATTCCAAGTGGCCAATTTCGTGTGAAGCACTGAAAATTGGTGCTCTGTAGTTTCCATAATTAACCCTCGGCGCGCAAGCGCAGCGAGGGTTATAGTACTTGGTTTGTCCGTCTGTCTGTCTGTCCGTCTGTTACCACTTTTTCTGCCACCACGCGCGACAAACAGGTAATAGCGACACCAACGGGTTCCAGCGCTACACTGGCTTGATTGTAAAATGGCGATTTTCGTAAAAGTGCCGCGTTCAGAAAGTTATGGCGTGAAAACAAAGTGAACAAGCCAATATGCTAATTAGAATGAAAAGCACTAAGTGCAAACCCTCGGCGAACTGCGCATGGTGCGGTACCACTAATTGATGGCTGGGGTTATTTATGCCTTTAACTCCGTGGTATCCCGCTAGTAGCTCGCGGAGTCTGGCACGGGCTAGCTACAGTAGTAATAGCATGCGTGAGTCGATACATGCCCTTCGTTTGTGACTTGTTGTGCTTCAAGACACAAGAGCGAACGGACGCGTCGAGGTAAGCCCTGTGCTAATTTACATATTGGCTTGTTCACTTGGTTTTCACGCCATAACTTTAATAAAACACAGTAGTTTTACGAAAATCGCCTTTTTTAAAATCAACCCAGTGTAGCACTGAACCCGATTATATCGCTGTTTACTGGATTTCGTGCGCGTGGTGGCAGAAAACGTGGTAACAGACAGACTGACAGACACACTTACAGGACAACTACCGTAACCCTCGCTGCGCATGCGCGCCGAGGGTTAACTAACTTACCTCGACCTGATCTGCTTGCTCTGTGTACCTCGGAGGCACAAGAAGTCACAACGAAGGGCGTGTATCGACTCCCGCAAGCTATCTACTACTGTAGCTAGCCCGTTTCAGACTCCGCGAGCTAAGCGGGAGTAAACGTATACTAGTATAATAGGCCCAGCCCATCAATTACCGGTACCGCGCATGCGCAGTTCGCCGAGGGTTTGTACTTTAGTGCTTTTCAATATTATTGGGTTTCCACAAACATAGAGTGTGAACACATGTCAGATGTTTCTGTTATTTTCTTAGAATGTTTATTCAGATGTTTCTGTTATTTTCTTAGAATGTTTATTATTTACATCTAAATACATCATTACAGCTGCACTTGTCCATAAGCAGTGTTGTGAGAGGTGGGAATGTTGTCCTTGTTTATAGGACCATACGCCTCATTGGAAGTCAACTGAATATCTTCTGAACTCTATACTTTGAGATGTAATACAACCATTGATTATCTCCACACATCGAGAAGCTGTTCCATTCCAGAGGCCACTAGAGAGACATTCTCTGGTAGTGTCTCCCTTTAGACTATGGCCATCATCACAGAAGTAGACTGCCACTGATCCTACACTGTCTCCACTGTAACACACCCCACCACCACTCACTGACCCACACACTCTGTTCTCCTCAACCAGAGAGGGAGACAAGTCCCTCAATGAACAATCTGGTACAAAAAGAAAGATCAGTCATTGAGAGATGAGGTAGGCTGGGAGTTGTCTCACTCACAGACTGGTCTCTCCAGACACACTGTCTGTCTAGTCACAGAGCCAGCAGTCTCCACAGACACTCCAAACTCTCCTCTACTGCCAGCTGCTGGGTAGTAGGTGTGGCTGCATCGAGTGGAGCTACAGTGTTGACAGCTCCCACTCTCTTCCTCACTCTAGACCCCACACCATCGTCTATCACCACTGTGTACTCTGGCCCTCCTGGATTGTTCCGCTGTTACAAACAAGAGGTTATAACAGATTGTTTTCTACCATAAATGTTACCAGTATTGGTGTCCAATTGACTTCAATGGCTCTCAGTGACCCATCAACTGGACTATACATGTAGAGAGCACTGCACGATGTCAAATTTCCTGGTAAGAGGAACAAAATTGAGAGTTTCCTCTGTGTAATATTTATTATACACTCATCATTCACCTGTCAAGTTAATATCGTATAGGGAGCTAGTGTCTCCATTCAGTGATCCATCACATGTATCAGCTCTGATGGTGATGTCATAGTCCTGACTAGTCACAGTGAGACTGTATTGGGTCAGAGTACCATGTGTGGTGATGACTGAACTACCATCCATGACCATACAGTATCCAGATGACTGGCAATCTCTCCAGTAAGTGATCCATCACATGTGTCAGCTCTGACAGTGATGTCACTCTGACTGACATCGACAGTGAGACTGTACTGGGTCTGAGTACCAGGTGTGGTGATGACCGAACTACCATTCATGACTACACAGTCTCCAGACGACTGGCAATCAGAGGTGGGTGGAGTCACAGTCAACACATACTGAGACACAGAGCCACCACAACTGATGACAGGTTTACTCCAGCTCACACCCAGAGTACAGCCATCATTGTTAAACTCAGCCATCATTGTTAAACTCATCTGTACATACCAACCATAGTTTTATTGAGATTTTCTGTAATTGAGGTCACACTCAGAGAAGAGCTGTTGCTTGCACTGCCTTCAGTTTGAGATATTCTAAACCTCTCATCTGGTGGACTGCACGGGTTTTCATCTGGTAAAGCCCTGAGATAGGTACATGTTCTGTTAGGCTCTCCGGGTTGACTGAAGGTCCAGATTGTGGCTGCACTGTTTACTGCACATGTGAATATGACATCATCTCCAGGACATATCCCATCTGATTGTCCAGTTAACTGGCTCACTCTCCCTGAAATTATTGTTACTATTCAAAACTGGCAGATCGAGTAACCAACAGATCTGTACACATACTTTACCTAAAAACAAAGCACAGACCCAGAATCCAGACAACCAAAGTGAGATACTCATCCTGAATCCATTAGCAGTGTTTAACTCCTCACTTAGGGGTTAAAGTAACACTGCTTTTTGTATGTGTAGGCAATGAGTGGGCAACTACTACAGTCATTGGAATTCCAGGCATATTGCTATTGTACTGGCAGCAGCAGTTCAACAGGGGTGCTCAAGTCAGTATGGAAACTCTGATCATAGGTTACAGCGAGAGAGACAGAGTGACAGGGCTGTGGTGAGCTGTGCATGACAACAATCAGCGTGACAACAGTATTTGTACAGTATTGTGGTTGTTTGTCCTGTAATGGCTCAGGTAACGTAGCATCACACTGCAACAATATGAATAACTGTTGAATTCGCTGCTAAGTTCAATGGGCAATTTCGTGTGGCGCCAAAAAGAACTCCAAATTCTTGTTGGTGCTCTGTTGTTTCCACAAACATTATAAGGATAAACAATCTAAGAAAATAACATGTGTTCACACGGCTATCTAAATACACCATCACAGCTGCACTTGTCCATAAGCAGTGTTGTGAGAGGTGGGAATGTTGTCCTTGTGTACTGGACCATATGCCTCATTGGAGGTCAGCTGAATATCTTGTGAACTCTTGACCTCTCTTGCCACACCCACCTCCTCATAGGTGACTGGTGGGGGAGGGGAGGGGGAGAGGAGGAGGTGGGGCCAGACAACCTGCCCCTCACTCTCTGTATGAGGTACAGTCCCACCACTCCCAGTAGAACTCCAATAGTTAGAAACACAAGACTGCACACAACACCAACATTATACTGTAGTTGCATTTTCCTCTTTTATTTCAGATCAGTCTCATGCTCTAAATGAAAGAAGGTTGGACATACGTAATTATTAATCGTAGCAGTTTCCCCAACATTAAGGTTTGGTGCATTCGACTCACTTGCATTGCTGATTATCAGCTCAGGAGCTGTCCACATGTTATCACTTTGCATCTTCTCTCCAGGATTCTAACTCCATTGACTAGATAGTCTTTTGAAGTCTGTATGTGGCATAGATCCCAGGACACTCCATTGTAGGTCAATTTTTCTCCCAGGAAATGATAGACGCCCTGTCCGTCAGCTGGGAACTCTGGGGGCGGGGGGCTGGGGGGGGGGGGGGGGGGCGGGTAGAGGGGACACCTATTCTCGTTTTTTTTTCCCTTTCGTATTTTTTTTTTTTTGTTTTTATATTCTATCTTCTTTTTGGTGTGGGGCGGCGGGCTGGATCTTTTTACGCTGTGTGGGGGGTGTCGGATGGTGGTCGAGAGCCTGTCGATTTTTTTCTTTTTTTGTCTTTTTCTACCCCGCCCACCGCTTATTTTATTTTTGTTTGTTTTTTTTTTTTGACCTTTTTTTTTTTTAATTCTATTTATTAATGTTTGGCCAGCCATTTTTTTTTTTTCTCTTTTTACCTTCTTTTTTTTGCTTTTTTGCTTTTTTTTTATTTGTCTTTTTTGCCCCGTTTTTTTTTTTTTTTTTTTTGTTTTTTTTTTTCTGCCTTTTTTTTTTTTTTTTTTTCTCTTTTTTTTTTTTTTTTTTTTTTTTTTTTTTTTTTTTTTGTTTTTTTGCTTTGTTTTTTTTTTTTTTTTTTTTTTTTTTTTTCTTTTTTTGTTTTTTCTTATTTAACTTTTTTGAGTTTTTGTCCATTTTCTTTTTTTTTATGTGTTTTTTTTTTTTTGTTCTTTGTTTTCTGTTTGCCCCTTTCTTTTTTTTTTTTTTTTTTTTTTTGCCCCGTTTTTTTCTCTTTTTTCTTTTTTTATTTTTTTTTTTTTTTTTTTTTTTTTTTTTTTTTGTTTTCTTTGTTTTTTTTTTTTGTGTTTGGTTGTTTTTTTTTTTAGTTTTTTTTGTTGCTATTTCTTTTCCTTGTTTTTTTGTTTTTTTATTGCTTTATTGTGCTTTTTTTACTTTTATTATTTTTTATCTTGTTTTTTTAATTTCTTAAATTTGTTTTATGGATATTCTTTTCTTTTTCTTTTTTTGTGGTGGTGCGTTGTTTCTTTTTGATATTTATCTATTTTTTTTTCTTTTCTTTTTGTTTATTGTTGTACTTGGTTTGTTGGTTTGGATTTTGTTTTTTTTCTTTGTTTTGCCCCTCCAGTCAAACACCAGGGTACAGCAAAGTTTCTGCAGAACAAACTGAGGAAGAATTACATCCAATACGGTTCAGAAACAAGGAAGTAAGGAACAGTTTACCTGACGAAGTATTTATTCTCTGAGTGACACATCCCACCACATACACAGTCACAGAAGAGGAAGAAGTGAGAGAGTCAGAGTAATGGATGTAGCCACACATATCTCCACTACAGTCTAGTGATGTCACTAGTGACTTGTTCATCAATTACAACTCTGTAGGCAGTCTCTCTACCAAGAACCTGTTGACGAAATAATTATTCTCATCATAATAGAACATGTGTTAGCTACTTGGGAAGCTTACAAAATATCGTCCCCACGTGACGTTAACAGCGTCTACATCCAGGGTCATTATATTGTAGATATAGTTGAAGGAAGACTCAACTCCACCACTACTGCCGGCTGTAGTACACATACAATCAACCTCTATTATGTACATACACAATATCAACCCCACCTGTGAGGTTCACAGGGTACACATCACTGGTGTTGGCACAAGTACTGACAGTAAAGTCATACTCCAGACCAACACTTCCATTCACAGAGAGTGTAATCTGGGACTCAGTGGTAGAGAAGGTCTCCACTGGACTACCACTGATGACCTCACAGTCACCAGATCCAGACAGACATGGAGTGGCAGTCACAGTGTATGGCACATCTCCACTGCAACTGACAACAGCCTCACTCCACTCCAAACTCAGTTGACACATGTCTCGAAATCCACTGACTGTGGCAGACTGGAATTCAGAAGACTCCAATACATCTGTAGACAACAATGACAATACCAGTGCAGTCAGTCAAACATCACACCATGCTTGTGTTGGTGGGTGACTATTATTATAATTCATAGCACAGCTGAAACACTCATGAACTATAGTGGATTTTTTAGGCAGTGGCATTCTTTCTGCCTCCTACTGCCTCCTACGGTAAGCACAGGCATATTAGAGCATATGGCTATACGTTCTGACAAAATTACAACACCACATTGTTTTAATCAAACCAGTCTTTTATCGATCTGTCTGGTACACATATACTTAGCAAAAGCAATAATTCTTAGCCAGAGTGAGAAAGGGCACAAATAAACATTAACCTATAACACAGATGTTTCTGGACCCAATTATGATAGCATTTCCATCAATACATCTCACAGATGTCCCACTGAGTTCACTAGTTACTGAGTCCACACTCCGAGAAAAGTTGCCAAGGTTTGCATTCACATCAGTCACAGATGCCGTTAATATACCCCCTGGTACACAGGTCCGTATGCCTGGACTACTTGGGTTGTAGACACAGATTGTTTCAACTCCACTAGAGTTGACGGTCCAGACGGCGAGATTAGTAGTACTTACTACACAAGTGAATGTGACGTCATCTCCAGGACATATCCCATTAGATGGTCCAGTGAACTGACTCACTGTCCCTGAAATTGTTCAAAGTGGCAGAGTAGCCAAAGAACTTGTACACATGCTTTACCTAAAAACAAACCCAAGGCCCAGAATCCAGACAACCAAAGTGAGATACTCATCCTTAAATGCCTTAGATATGTTTAACTCCTCACAAAGGGGTTAAATTCTCATGGTGGTCACCAGGAATGCATGTGTATATAGGCAAAGAGTGGGCAACTATTTCAACAGTCATTGTAATTCCAGGCACATTGAATAACTGTCGAATTCGCTGCTAAGTTCAATGGCAAGTTTCGTGTGATGCCAAAAAGCACTGAACATTTTTTGCTGCTTTGTAGTTTACACAAACATGTAAATGATAAACAATCTAAGAAAATTATATGCTGCTCAGTTCAATGGCCATTTTGTGTGGTGCCAAATTTTAAAATAACTGCAAATTCTTTTTGGTGCTCTGTTTTTTCCACAAACATTATGAAGAATAAACAATCTAAGAAAAATAACAGACATGTGTTCACAGGCTATCTAAATACACCATCACAGCTGCACTTGTCCATAAGCAGTGTTGTGAGAGGTGGGAATGTTGTCCTTGTGTACTGGACCAGATGCTTCTGGGCTCAGCTGGATGTCGGTGCACGCTGATATCTTGTGCCACATCTTGCAAACCTCTCTTTCCACACGCACGTCGCGTAGTGACGGGTGGAGGGAGATGGGAGGAGGTGCAGACTACCTGCCCCTCACTCTCTCTGTACGAGGTACAGTCCCACCACTCCCAGTAGAACTCCAATAGTTAGAAACACAAGACAGCAAACAATGCTGGCAACCACTGCTATAGTTTGACAGCTGGCTTTTTCTGGAGATGGTTTGCACTCTATGAGAAAATATAATGCATGCACTAACCATTTTACTTTGAGGTGTAATACAACCATGATTATCTCCACCCATTGAGGAGTGGTTCCATTCCAGAGGCCACATAGACAGACATTCTCTGGTAGTGTCTCCCTCTAGACTATAGCCATCATCACAGAGTAGACTGCCACTGATCCTACACTGTCTCCACTGTAACACACCCCACCACCACTCACTGACCCACACACTCTGTTCTCCTCAACCAGAGAGGGAACAGTCCCTCAATGAACAATCTGGTACCAAGGAAAGACCAGTCTTGAGAGATGAGGTGAGACTGGGAGTTGTCTCACTCACAGACTGGTCTCTCCAGACACACTGTCTGTCTAGTCACACAGCCAGCAGTCTCCACAGACACTCCAAACTCTCCCTCTACTGCCGGCTGCTGGGTAGTAGGTGTGGCTGCATTGAGTGGAGCTACAGTTGACAGCTCCCACTCTCTCCCTCACTCTAGACCCCACACCATCCTCTATCACCACTGTGTACTCTGGCCCTCCTGGATTGTTCCGCTGTTACAAACAAGAGGTTTTAACAGATTGTTTGCTACCATAATTGTTACCGGTATTGGTGTCCAATTGACTTCAATGGCTCTCAGTGACCCATCAACTGGACTATACATGTAGAGAGCACTGCACGATGTCAAATTTCCTGGTAAGAGGAACAAAATTGAGAGTTTCCTCTGTAATATTTACACACTCATCAATAATTTTCACCTGTCAAGTTAATATTGTACAGGGAGCTGGTGTCTCCAGTCAGTGATCCACCACATGTATCAGCTCTGACGGTGATGTCATAGTCCTGACTAGTCACAGTGAGACTGTACTGGGTCTGAGTACCAGGTGTGGTGATGACTGAACTACCATCCATAACCATACAGTCTCCAGATGACTGGCAATCAGAGGTGGGTGGAGTCACAGTCAACACATACTGAGACACTGAGCCACCACAACTGATGACAGGTTCACTCCAGCTCACATCCAGAGTACAGCCATCATTGTTAAACTCAGCTATGTTGACAGTAGGTGACTGCGGAGCTGAGGCACTTCCTAAACAAGAAACTGTCTGAGGAAAGCATAAGGTTTTATAGGCACAGTCGTACCTACAATACAGATGTTGTCTGTACCACCTGGGTTACCACTATTACCATCTGTACATCCAACCATAGTATTATTCAGATTTTCTGTAATTGAGGCCAGACTCAGAGAAGAGTTAAAGTTGCTTGCACTGCCTTCAGTTTGAGTTATTCTAAATCTCCCATCTGGTGGTTCGCATGTGGTTTGATTTAAAGCGCTGAGATAGGTACATATTCTGTCAGGCTCTCCAGGTGGACTGAAAGTCCAGCTGGTAACTGTACCGCCTACTACACATGTGAATATGGACTCATCTCCAGGACATATCTCATCTGATTGTCCAGTTAACTGGCTCAGTGTCCCTGAAATTATCGTTCATTCAAAATTGGCAGAGTAACCAACAGATCTGTACACATACCTAAAAACAAAGCAAAGACCCATAATCCAGACAACCAGAGTGAGATACTCATCCTTTAGAATTTAACTCCTCACAAATGGGTTAAAGGTTTAATTAGCCACTCATGCATGAGGAATGTGTGTAGGCAGAGTGGGCAACTACTTCAACAGTCATGGAAATTCCAGGCACATTGCTATGAATAACTGTTGAATTCGCTGCTAAGTTCAATGGCCAATTTCATGTGGTGCCAAAAAGCGCTGAAAATTCTTTTTAAGTTTCCACAACCATGTCAAGGATAAACATTCTAAGAAAATAACAGACACATATGACATCTGTTCACACGGCTATCTAAATACACCATCACAGCTGCACTTGTCCATAAGCAGTGTTGTGAGAGGTGGGAATGTTGTCCTTGAGTACTGCCTCATTGGAGGTCAGCTGAATGTCTTGTGATCTCTTTACCTCTCTTGCCACACCCACTTCCTCATAGCTGACTGGTGCGGGGAGGGGAGTGGGAGAGGAGGAGGTGGGGCCAGACATCCTTCCCCTCACTCTCTGTATGAGGTATACAGTCCCACCACTCCCAGTAGAACTCCAATAGTCAGAAACACAAGGCTGCACACCACGCCAATTATTGTACTCTCGTCAAAATCTGTATGTGAAGAGTTGCACTACTATTGTTAATAATTTGTTGATGCTTCATACCATGTTCTGCCTCCACACATTGAGGAGTGGTACCATTCCAGAGGCCACTAGAGAGACATTCTCTGGTAGTGTCTCCCTCTAGACTATAGCCATCATCACAGAAGTAGACTGCCACTGATCCTACACTGTCTCCACTGTAACACACCCCACCACCACTCACTGACCCACACACTCTGTTCTCCTCAACCAGAGAGGGAGACAAGTCCCTCAATGAACAATCTGGTACACAAGGAAGCACCAGTCATTGAGAGATGAGGTGAGACTGGGAGTTGTCTCACTCACAGACTGGTCTCTCCAGACACACTGTCTGTCTAGTCACACAGCCAGCAGTCTCCACAGACACTCCAAACTCTCCTCTACTGCTTGCTGCTGGGTAGTAGGTGTGGCTGCATTGAGTGGAGCTACAGTTGACAGCTCCCACTCTCTCCCTCACTCTAGACCCCACACCATCCTCTATCACCACTGTGTACTCTGGCCCTCCTGGATTGTTCTGCTGTTACAAACAAGAGGTTTTAACAGATTGTTTGCTAACCATACTTGTTACCGGTATTGGTGTCCAATTGACTTCAATGGCTCTCAGTGACCCATCAACTGGACTATACATGTAGAGAGCACTGCACGATGTCAAATTTCCTGGTAAGAGGGACAAAATTGAGAGTTTCCTCTGTAATATTTACACATTCATCAATAGTTTTCACCTGTCAAGTTAATATTGTATAGGGAGCTGGTGTCTCCAGTCAGTGATCCACCACATGTATCAGCTCTGATGGTGATGTCATAGTCCTGACTAGTCACAGTGAGACTGTACTGGGTCTGAGTACCAGGTGTGGTGATGACATCCATGACTATACAGTCTCCAGATGACTGGCAATCAGAGGTGGGCGGAGTCAGAGTCAACACATACTGAGACACAGAGCCACCACACACTCTTCTCTCCCACATCTCTCTCTGAGATGGTGGCTGAGTTGATTTGAGAGTGTGATAGAAGATCTGTAGAATGATTGTTTATCGCTACCATAACTCTCACCAAAACCAATCCAACCTAAGATACAGATCTCCTGGTCAACATCTTCATCAAGACATTGTATTCTGGTATTATTGAGACTTTCATCCACTGACTGTGTAGTCAGAGTAGAGGAGCCATCTTCAGTGATATTCACAGAGAATTCTTCATTTGGTCCACATGTTGGGTCTGTGACTAAAGGCATTGGGAATCTTAGTGCAGTACATGCTGTAACTGTTCCTCCATCAGGTGTAACTCCCCAGGTGTACGAACTTGTACTTGTTTGACATGTGAATGTCAGATTGCCTCCAGGACATGTGCTGACACTTGAAATACCTTATGAAGAAAGAGTAATGATCTTTTACAACAACGAAACCACTAATTTATCATTCAAGAAGCTCCATGGCTTGCCTGAAAGTGAAGCAAAGATGCAGCAGATGAGCAACCAGAATGCCATTCTAAAGTAGCTTAACTCTTTGCATTGGGGTTAAAATTTCAAAGTTTCATGATGGTGCTGGAAAGCTGCTGGTTAGCAAAAAAATGCTCCTAATATGTCCTTTTATGTTTCCGTGTAGACAGCTAGCATCCTCACAGTTTGCCAGGAGCAGCGATTCACTGCAGGTGCAATTCCCTTTCTTTGGAGTTACTGCAAATGTGTGGAATGTATATAACCACCCCCGTTATGCTATTTCAACAATGCATAGTTATAGTGGCTGTGTGTATCAAGAAATTTACCTAGATCTAATGTAGCTAGTATATAGAAAGACAGGGTAATGACATATGTACACGTACATACCTTTATGGTCACCGCTTGGTACCAGCACGCATGCCCACACAGGGGATCCTCTTCGGTTTTGTACTCATGTGACTCGGTATGGGGAGCAAGCTTGACTAAACCTCACTGAAAGAGTGCCCAGCCCAAGCCCAAGTCAGCCCTTTGCCCAAAAGACAACCCTCTTATTTAAATTTAGGCTGAAACGTGGTTCGATCTCCTGCCACACACCTTGAGTTTACAAAAACCCATTTTATTTTCAACTTGACTAAGAAGCAATTAAGGGATAAGCTACAATCGTACTGAATGTTCACATGGTAGTAATATAGCTACATCACAGCTGCACTTGTCCATAAGCAGTGTTGCGAGAGGTGGGAATGTTGTCCTTGTTTATAGGACCATATGCATCATTGGAAGTCAGCTGAATGTCTTGTGAACTCTTGACCTCTGTTGCCACACCCACCTCCTCATATGTGACTGGTGGAGGGAGGGGAGGGGGAGGGGAGGAGGTGGGGCCAGACATCCTGCCCCTAACTCTCTGTATGAGGTACAGTCCCACCACTCCCAGTAGAACTCCAATAGTTAGAAACACAACACTGCAAACAACACCAACAATTACTACTGTAGCTTCATTTTCCTCTTTTATTTCAGATCCAGTCTCATGCTCTAAATGAAAGAAGGTTGGACATAATTATTAATCGTAGCATTTCCCCCACATATTAAGGTGTGGTGCATTCGACTTACTTGCATTGCTGATTATCAGGTCAGGAGCTGTCCACATGTTAATGTTATTAATTGTGCATCTTCTCTCCAGGATTCTAACTCCATTGATTAGATAGTCTTCTGAAGTTCTGTATGTGGCAGTAGATCCCACGTAAACTCCATTGTAGGTCACATTTCCACCAGGAAATGAATAAACACCCATTCCATCAGCTGTGAACTCTGGCATTGCTGTCCAGTCAACACCAGGGAACAGTAGGTCTTCTGGAGAACAAACTGAAGAAAATAGTAGTTTATATCCAATACGTTCAGAAACAAGGAACAGCTCACCTGGTGAAGTATTCTTCAAACTTATTCTCTGAGTGACACATCCCACCACATACACAGTCACAGAAGAGGAAGAAGTGAGAGAGTCAGAGTAATGGATGTAGCCACACATTTCTCCACTACAGTCTAGTGATGTCACAATATTAATGATTTGTTCATCAATTACAACTCTGTAGGCAGTCTCTCTACCAAGAACCTGATGAAATAATTATTCTCATCATAATGGAACATGTGGTACTTGGGAAGCTTACAAAATATCTTCCCCAGGTGACGTTAACAGCGTCTACATCCAGGGTCATTATATTGTAGATATAGTTGAAGGAAGACTCAACTCCACTACTACTGGCGGCTGTAGTACACATACAATCAACCTCTATTATGTACATACACAATATCAACCCCACCTGTGAGGTTCACAGTGTACACATCACTGGTGTTGGCACAAGTACTGACAGTAAAGTCATACTCCAGACCAACACTTCCATTCACAGAGAGTGTAATCTGGGACTCAGTGGTAGAGAAGGTCTCCACTGGACTACCACTGATGACCTCACAGTCACCAGACCCAGACAGACATGGAGTGGCAGTCACAGTGTATGGCACATCTCCACTGCAACTGACAACAGCCTCATTCCACTCCAAACTCAGTTGACACATGTTTTCTTCATCACCAAATCCACTCACTGTGGCAGACTGGAATTCTGGGGACTCCAGCACATTCACATCTGTACACAACAATGACAATTCCAGTTTGGCCATTCTCATTATTATAACATTCTTGCATGGGTGGGTGACTATATTAATAGTTTGCTGTAAAGACATTCACTGGTTTCTCTCCCACAGAGAATGTATGTGTGTATGGAGGAGGTCTATGAAAAATGCACTTGAACATCAAAGCCGGAAACTCTTGAACAGAATACAACTGTGTGTGACTGAGGAAGGCTGTAGAAACTGGACACAGAAATTAACCCTTCACCTATAACACAGATGACTTTGGATCCAATGGTGTTATCATTTCCATCAGCACATCTCACAGATGTTCCACTGAGATCTCTAGTTATTGAGTCAACACTCAGAGAAGAGTTGCTAGGGTCTCCATTCACATCAGTCACAGATGACGTGAATATACCTCCCTGGTCCACAGGTCTGGGTGTTACGATCATTCCGTCTGTAGGTACAGCTGTCTTCATTTACTCCAGGGTTGACTGTCCAGGTGGTGATATTAGTAGTGCTTACTACACATGTGAATGTGACATCATCTCCAGGACATATCCCACTAGATGGTCCAGTGAACTGACTCAATGCTCCTGAATTGTTCCATACTATTACAAAGTGGCAGAATAGCCAAAGAGCGTGTACACATACTTTACCTAAAGACAAAGACAGACCCAGAATCCAGACAACCAGAGTGAGATACTCATCCTTGAATGCATTTAACTCCTCACAAAGGGGTTAAAGAGTCAATTGACCACTCATGGTGGTCACCAGGAATGCATGTGTAGGCAATTAAGAGTGGGCAGCTATTTCAACAGTCATGGAAATTCCAGGCTGAATAACTGTTGAATTCGCTGCTAAGTTCAATTGCAACTTTCGTGTGATGCCAATTAAAAAGCACTGCAAATTCTTTTAATTTGTTTTCCGCAAACATGCAAGGATACATACAGCTAAGAAAATACAGACACATATGATGACATGTGTTCACACAGCTATCTAAATACACCATCACAGCTGCACTTGTCCATATGCAGACAGAGTTGTGAGAGGTGGAAATGTTGTCCTTGTTTATAGGACCATATGTCTCATTGGAAGTCAGCTGAACCTTCTCCTTATCAGGTGACTCATGGCAGGTGGGAGAGGTGGAGGCCAGACACACTGCCCCTCACTCGGTGATGAGTACACTCTCATGAGGAATTGTATGTGTGGGCAACTATATCACAGTCCATGGAACTTCCAGGCACATTGCATAACGTGCGAATTCCAAGTGCCATTTCGTGTGAGCACTTCATTGGTGCTCTGTAGTTTTCCACAACACTGTAAAGGATAAACATTCTAAGAAATAACAGACACATATGACATGTGTTCACACAGCTATCTAAATACACCATCACAGCTGCACTTGTCCATAAGCAGTGTTGTGAGAGGTGGGAATGTTGTCCTTAGTATAGGACCATATGCCTCATTGGAGGTCAGCTGAATGTCTTGTGAACTCTTGACCTCTCTTGCCACACCCACCTCCTCATAGGTGACTGATGGAGGAGGGGAGGGGGAGAGGAGGAGGTGGGGCCAGACAACCTGCCCCTCACTCTCTGTATGAGGTACAGTCCCACCACTCCCAGTAGAACTCCAATAGTTAGAAACACAAGACTGCAAACAATGCTGGCAACCACTGCTGTAGTTTGACTGTCGTCTTTTTCTGGGGATATTCTTCTGGTTTGCACTCTATGAGAAAATATAATGCATGCACTAACCATTTTACTTTGAGGTGTAATACAACCATTGATTATCTCCACACATTGAGGAGTGGTTCCATTCCAGAGGCCACTAGAGAGACATTCTCTGGTAGTGTCTCCCTCTAGACTATAGCCATCATCACAGAAGTAGACTGCCACTGATCCTACACTGTCTCCACTGTAACACACCCCACCACCACTCACTGACCCACACACTCTGTTCTCCTCAACCAGAGAGGGAGACAAGTCCCTCAATGAACAATCTGGTACACAAGGAAGCACCAGTCATTGAGAGATGAGGTGAGACTGGGAGTTTGTCTCACTCACAGACTGGTCTCTCCAGACACACTGTCTGTCTAGTCACACAGCCAGCAGTCTCCACAGACACTCCAAACTCCCCTCTACTGCCGGCTGCTGGGTAGTAGGTGTGGCTGCATCGAGTGGAGCTACAGTTGACAGCTCCCACTCTCTCCCTCACTCTAGACCCCACACCATCCTCTATCACCACTGTGTACTCTGGCCCTCCTGGATTGTTCCGCTGTTACAAACAAGAGGTTTTAACAGATTGTTTGCTACCATACTTGTTACCAGTATTGGTGTCCAATTGACTTCAATGGCTCTCAGTGACCCATCAACTGGACTATACATGTAGAGAGCACTGCACGATGTCAAATTTCCTGGTAAGAGAGACAAAATTGAGAGTTTCCTCTGTAATATTTACACACTCATCAATAATTTTCACCTGTCAAGTTAATATTGTAGAGGGAGCTGGTGTCTCCAGTCAGTGATCCACCACATGTATCAGCTCTGACAGTGATGTCATAGTCCTGACTAGTCACAGTGAGACTGTACTGGGTCTGAGTACCAGGTGTGGTGATGACTGAACTACCATCCATGACCATACAGTCTCCAGATGACTGGCAATCAGAGGTGGGCGGAGTCAGGGTCACACATACTGAGACACAGTGCCACCACAACTGACGACGCCTCGCTCCACCCACACTCACGACACACTCTCTCCCTCCCACATCTCTCTCTGAGATGGTGGCTGAGAGAACTTGCACACCTTTTGCATTTCCTATGATTGTCGGTCGAACTAGATAGTAAATACAACCAATTATACTAAGATTATACCTAGAATGCATATGGTCTTAGAGCCAATGATGTCAGTAGCATTATTGCCATCAGTACAATTCACCATTATTCCATTGAGATCCTCAGTTATTGAGACAACACTCAGAGAAGAGTTGGCAGCAGTCTCACTGCCTTCAGTTCGAGATGATCTAAACCTCCCATCTGGTCCACACGTAGTCTGGATCTGGGCACCTACTGAGATATGTACACCACATGCACTTCCTCCAGGACTGACACTCCAGCGGGTAGCTCCACTGTTCACTACACAAGTGAACCTGACATCCGTCTCCAGAGACATACCTCATCTGGTCCAGTGAACTGATTAGTACACCTAAATTGGTGTTATGCTATAGTTTATCTCCAATTTCCTATAACTCAAGGACACTTTACCTGAGAAAGAAGCACAGACACAGAGTGTGGCAGCCAAAGTGTGCTCATTTTTGGATCACTCCTAATGGTGTGAATAACCCTTTTCTCAGGGTACACAGAATTCATGCATAGAAACTGCCAGCATATCTGTAATCCCGTGAATACAAAATTTTACTACAATTGAGAAATAAGATCATGGCATCAGTAAATCATGTGGTTAATACAAAAATGTAATCTAGGTGTACAGTACAATTCAGCAACTATGAAGCCTAAGCCTAACGGCAGTCAACAGGCAATTTACAGTTTAGTCCCCTTCAAGATGTCTTGGGCTGACTGTAGCTTAAGTATCTCACTACTGAGAATTGTGTCTCTTCCCCAAAAAAATTTTACTGAGATACTTGTTCTTCGGGTGAGTGTGCATACACGTTTACACATTACCCAACAACCAGTGACACAAATCCAATTATTAAGATCCTACAAGTTCGGTAGAGGTTGTTCGAAATATTATTGTATATTACTGAAATGTTAATCTGGGTCATTAATTGAGTTTAGGCATCTCTCCTTCATTAACTCCTCTCATTAGGGTTAATGCGCTGCAATGCATAAATTGTGTCGGGACTCATTGAACTTCCCCAGTTTTTGTCTTCTTGCGGTGTTAGAACTATCATAACAACAATCAACGGGTAGCTACTATAGGCAACAGTGTACCGGCAACCTACAGAGCTTTCTAACAGTTTCAGTTCCCTCTGACAAAGATAAACACCTTCAAAGAGCATCACAAGTGTACTTGTCCATAAGCATTGGTTGCGAGAGGTGGGAATTCTTGTTATAAGGACCATATGCCTCATTGGAAGTCAGCTTGAAATGTCTTGTGTAACCTCTTGACCTCACTTGCCACACCGCACCTCTCATAGGCTGACTGGTGGCTCGTATGGAGGATAAGGTGGGTCCCAACTTACCTCATTACACAACCTGTTCCTGCTGTGTTTCTCTTCTCTGCATGTTGTGGATAGACACATA